ACACACAGTAAATTCCCAGTTATCCGGCACCCATGGGGATTGGTAGATGCCAGATAGCTGTAGTTGTTGGTTGGTTAAGAGTTACAGTTAACTCTCAAAAAACAACCCTTCGCCACATTCATCTGCTGGCTAGATTCTGCTATTGGCTATTTTAAATTGCCATAACCAATAGCAGACTGGCTATTGCACACGCCCACTGCTCGTTGTTTGCATTTACCTGCCAGCTGCGGAATCTAGCAGCCGGCCACAGCAAGATGTAAATATATTTAGTTACAAAAATCATTACCTGGGAAAGTAAGAACATGGTCGATGGATGACATCCAGGAAATGACAGGTAGCTGTGGCATAAAGCAAAACATTAACCTGTCAAAAGACAAGACCAATTGGAAAGTGATGGTGGCAGCAAGGTTCCAAGTTTTAAGTTCACCAAAGTCCACAGGCATTCATAGTTGTGGTAATGGTAATTATAAATGTGGCCATATTTGCTCATTACATATAAGGGTCTTGCTTCCTGATCGTACGTAGCTGGTGCTTATCTCACTGAGAGGCTACCAGACAGGATTTCTACAGTCCCTATGTAAAATACATTGTTCATGCAAGCACGGCACAATGGTATCAAGAAAATTGAACCTTTTCACTTAAAATAATAATGTATTTTGGTATTGGTGACCTTGGTTCACGAAAAGTGTGGATTTTAATATGTCCACTTTATTCCTTGCCTTAGGGGCTGACATACTGATTTGCCTAGTGGCTGCTATTTTCTCAAACAGAGAATTTAGTGCACTGATCATGCCTCCTCACAAGACAAATCTTTGATATATAAGAAACAAGTCATTCAAGGTGCAAAGCCATCTTGTTAACGTTTCTCATTAATATAACACTGCTACTGTAATAAGAGGCAGACGCTTCACGGAAGGATAATACTCGGCGTACATCTCTCATTAAAACAAAGTGTTTTACTAAAAATGATCTTGTTTGTCCTAAAGCATTGGACACAGAGTGCAGTCTTCTCTGGTTCATTATTTCAGACAAACTTTGGGAATATTTACTATCAGTTAAGATGGAAATGTCCCGATAATGTGGACATGGGATTCTCTTCTAAGAAGACTCTAGACTAAAAGCATACCAATAGAAGACGCGTATGTCAAGAACACAAAAGATACAAGAATTTATGTTGTTAATGAATGGTTGCTTTAAATGTATTTTTTATTCATATCAGTGACCCAAAAGACTAGCTGCATCAGCATTACACTCATAGGAAAAGCATTGTTTACAATAATGAAATCTTACATAAGCCTGGGGTTTAAATGGTTTAGCACTTCTGTCTTGCAGCACTAAGGTCCTTGGTTTGTATCTCAACCAGGACGCTATCTGCATGGAGTTTGCATGTTGTCCCTGGACTTGCCTGGGCTTCCTCACACACTCTGAAGACAGGTTGGTAAGTTAAATGGCACAGCTGAACAAGATGGCTGCCTCACCTCTTAACTGATTTAAGTCTCCAGTGAGAAAAGCACTTTAGAAATACAAATACATTTAAAGAAATTTTTTTTTTCTGTATTCAGATTTTTGAAGGTGTGGGGAAGGCCAAGACATGATGTGAGAGCCCACAATTCAGCACTGGGGAGACCGTAGATAGAATAGTTTACCCTTGCATAACCAATAGTCACTTGCAATCATATATAGGGAATTAAATAGGTACTCAACACCCTAAACCCTAACTCCAACAAACCACCCTGTGGTGATCATAGCATTCCTCCAGCCACAGATTCATCTTTTTGTCCCCCCAAATATTTACTTTTTCTTTGTACACAAGCACTTACAAATATTGGTTGCAGCCCACACCAGCCATGACAGACAGTGCTGTGAGCTAAACTTCTTGATTTCCCTGTCTCAGTGTATAATGCAAATACCATCCACAGAGCTCCAACGTACAGAATACTTACACACATGTAGACAGTTGTTATACATTTTAATTATAAACTCTGTTATAACAAAATACTTACAATTAGCACATAGCACTTTCAAATCTTTATTCATTGGAAATCTTATCAAATCAGTGTTTTAGTTTATGGTCATTGTGAAACGTGTTAACATGTAAAACCATATTCATAATAGGTGATAGGAAATAGTTTGAGCTCTGTAGAAGTTTAGGAGGAGTGGTGAAGGATTGGACAGCCTCAATAAATACGCTGTAACCACAAAGTCCTTGCCTTGTCTGAATAAATCCCAGTTTTTGGTAATACAGTAGATAAAAGCGAAACCGTCTGTGTGGTCTCTGAAATTCACTTCTTTGAGTTTATCCTGATATCTGTTCCAAGATCGTATAATCTATCACAGATAAGCAGCATGTTCTCCCACAAGGCAACACTCCATTTGCCAATAACAGTTCTTCTAATTGAGGTAGTTGCAGTCCAGATTGGCTTTACATTTGAACAAACTGCAAATGAGTATATCAGAAGTGCTTAGCGTTCCCAATATCCATTTTCCATGCTTAGAACAAATCCTTAATATGGGGAAAAGTCTTTGCAGCAGTTCTCAATAGATCCATATTGATGAACGTTCCCTGGAGAGTGATATGTGAAACAGACTAAGCAGTTAAACCGCAGGACATCTGCTTAGGCTGATGGCACCATGGAGTTTTAAGATTTTACCGAGGTTTAGATCTTTTTTATTGACCTTCAGGTTCTTCATACAGCCAGCATAGGATCTCTTGATAGGAAGCCATGGCATTTCCAAGGCATCTGTTAATAGACAAAATTACTTGTGAGCATGATATAAAATAAAGCTAGAAAAGTCAAGAATGTAGACCGCAAGCAGCATGCATTACAATTTGCAGCAGCTGCACTTGTTGGATGTTAGGCACATGGGCATTTATAAAACACTCCTGCCCATCTGCAGAGTTGGAGCAGACATATAACCTGTTGCTTCTGGGGCTGATAGCAGTATACACAGCTGTTTGATTTTAGAAGCAGGGCCCATAGTTCAAATATACATTTATTATGTAAATGTAAAAACTATGCCCTTCATAGAGTCTTTTTCACAGACCCACCTGTGTTACATTACAATATTATTGTAAAAATAGAATAAGAATACCCAAGTAATGACAACATGCTTGCATATGCTTTACAGTGTATGCACTTTATATTTCACTTTACAGACCATCATTTAAAATCTTTGCAGAGAAAGAAAAACATTATGAAGATTTTCAGCCTTAACAAATAAAAAGTTATTTTCACAAAAAATGGATTGCCATTATACTCTATGGAAAGTCTCCGTCTGCCTGTGTATGTGGTGGCCCCGGTACACAGACCCTTCCTCTAAGAGCTTTAATCTATAATAATTAATCATAATGAATTCTGCCGATGTCAGACTACAAGATGCATTCTGATTGGTTAGAATACATTACTGCACATATGGATAAGATCAAATAAAATAGGGCTGTATAATGTTTTGGGACGCCCAACAGCAACCATCGCACTTCTTTCAGTTCTGCTCCTGAATTTACTCATAAAGGTCCATAAATGACCAAAAACATTTGAAAAAAAGAAAGTAAACTGAAGAAGTTATACTTTAAATAACTACATACAGTCCTACACAGGGCAAAACTGAATTTGTATATGCTATTATTTTTAGAAGGAGCACCGCTCAGTTTCCACTATAAAATCATAATAGCTGCAGCCCTATGATGTAATCATAGTGATCACATGATCATGAATGTCCAGTGTGCTGTTTAAATCAGAGCAACAATATGCCCAAACCTTTCCCAGCAGCATGCAGCTTTAACCTCCCCAGTATCACTTCTGCCTAATACTGCTCCCTCCAAGACAGGGTTCCCAACCTTAAGTGCCCGCACCCCTAGGAGGTGTGAGATGGAGTTCCACGAGGTGCAACAAAGAGAGTCTAGTGTCCCTTATTGACAAGTCGCAAGTCATCACTCAGCCTCAGCCAGCTGCCTGTTTGACTTGAGCAGTGGTAATAGGTGGTTGTGTTGCATACATAGTAGTCTCATTGTTTATTTAATCAAAAGGAGAGAATAACAGAATTAACATATACAGTAAGTAAAGCAAGTAACTGATTGTCAGAGTATTGCTTCTAAATTCATTAAAACACATATGACATAATCATTAAACAGTAAACTCTATTAGCCCGCTATTGACTTTGGCAATTTTAAATAGCCAATAGCAGAAACTAGCCAGCAGATGAATGGGGCGGGGAAAGAGGGGGGTTTTTGCTTGAGAGTCTATAGTAACTCTCAAGCAACCAGCAACTACAGTTATCTGGCATCTACCAATCCCCATGGGTGCCGGATAACTGAGAGTTTACTATATAATGTTTCACTCATAAATTCATGATCACGAGAGTTCATTTAGTATTTCACCACCGAAGCCTCTCACCTCTGCTTACACAAAGGTGCCTCCTTCCATCACTTTATTTCGCTCGGCCAATCCCATGCTTATCCCCACTTTGTCCAGCCAATCAAATGCCTCCCTCATTGCCTATGACTCTCCCATTTATAATACAAAGTACTGATAATTAAACATGTCCTAGGGGTGTGGGGCATGTGGGAACCACTGCTCTAAGATCTCTAAGGTCCCTACAATGTATTTTACATTCCTTTTTTAACATACAGAAGCTGTAAAATTGCATTGACTGGGAGGAACAGGGTACCCACACCTCCTATTCAGAGCAGGTTGCATTGAATTACCTGGGACTCCCCCAATGTACAATGGGGCCTTAGTATTTGATCGCAGTGCAGAGCTCGGGCCGGCTGTCTGCTTGGATTCATTGTCTACATAGAGATGAACGGCATTTCTCTTCTGACTCACTAAAAAATAAAGAGAGCATTAATAGTCATGTTACTTCAACACATAATGGCTTAACGCGCCACTCAGTATAAAACAAATGTGTAAAATGAATAATAATTCCTAAACATTGGAAATTCCTAAGCAATACAAGAGTGTGTGCAATAAAACCTTAATGTCTGACGGTTTCTACAGCTTTTGAATACATTTCTATCTTGGCTGAGGTTTATTCTGAAGAACTAATTAGACAGATACATTCTGCACAATGATAACTGGTGGTTACTGCCGGGCTTGCATGGCTTTGGGAGGCTGTTTTCAATATTTCTTCACAATATGTCCCTTGTATACGTTTTTGATGTACAGTTTCAACACTGCCAAATGAAATTCAATGATATTAGTCTATATGATAATATAATGAAAAGCAGAATAATGGGCTTGCTTGTCTATTTGTTGTTTGAAGCTAGCATTTCATCTGCTTATGGGTATATGCCTTCCCTGGTTCGTCCCTCCCCTCTCTTATAATAATTTGTTTTAAAAAAACCTTCCTAACTACCTTATTTTAGACCCAGTGACATCATCACTAGGCTTCTGTGCAAACCAGGAAGCTCGTAGCTGGTGGGAGGGGCCAGCGGGGTGTTGTACATAGCACCATAGCACCCTGCAGCATTACTCCTCTCAAGAGCCCTCAGCCCCAACGCAGATAGCGGACTGGCTCTGGAGGAGTGGGCGTTCCTAGGCAGACTTTATTTATATACAGACTTTCCAAGGTAAAGAAAGGAAATCTAAAAAATTAAAGGGGTGAGCCAGGGACAGTCAGACTGGAGAGGAAAGAGCGAGATGATGCTGGACATCCTCCAGCCAGTAAATGAGACAGGCTCTGTCTGAATTGCTGCAGCTTCTAATGCATATTGTGTGCAAGGAGAATTAATAAACATAAACATATTTACATCAACCTAGTCTCTAACATGTTTAGCTAAAAACTATACATTCCCTTTAAAGTAGGATTCCAGGCTAGCAGGTAAAAACACATTTGACATACATGTATGTGAACCATTTGACCTGTCAAAGGATTTGCATTTACAAATCTTGTGAGTCACACAGCCCTGCCATGCTGCATAGCCCGGGCAGTCACAAATGTATTGACTGTTGCAGTTTTGCAGGCTCCTGAGTCATTTTCCTGCTTATTGGATATATAACTTGTAGTATTATACTGCCGATAATGATTCCAGTGACAAAGGAAGCTGAAAATTGTAAATAAGAAACAGTGGTGCTCCCGTCTTGGCAACGCAGTGTGCAGGGGTATGAAAAATCACAAGAGTAGCTGAACAAAATGATACATCATTTAACAGCCTAATCGTTCATATACAGTATATGTAGTTTAGCTTTGTATTAAGCAGTAAAGACATACAGCTGTCTTCCTTGCTTTGTAGTATCTGTGTGTTTATTCATTAATACAAGGACCCGGGTAGTTGAATATTGAACTCACCTGTTATGGTATGCCATTTTCCATCACACAGCACCTCTGGAGGAGTAACTGAGGCTTTGAAAGGACCAGCACCATTATTCACAGACAAGGTTACCTGAAAAATACAATGAAGGAAAAGGCTGAACATACAGATTTTGCTTTGTTTCAAAGTTTACCAGCCCGCTTTTACTGTGGAGTCCTGTGGCGTCCTGCTATGTGTAAAAAATGTCACCTTGATATAGAATATTTGTTGCCCTGGTGCAAGTGATGCAAAAGGGCTAACCTGGAAAGTAATAAAGAGGAAACGGCATCAACAGTGCTCCTACTTCACAACCTCTTCTCAGTGGAAAGAGGGCAGGAAGCGGTAGACAGCGCACGTGCCATTTCCTGGGATGTTGAGTCACATTACACATTCTGGCGATTCTCTGTCCTCTTTAAAGCAGAACTCCAGGAACATAACATCTTAACCCTTGCAGTGGGGCTACCAACACACTGCAAGGGTTAAGTGCTTGTTTTTTGTTCAGGAAGCTAAAATACCAAAGTTATACTCACCAAAGTTATACTCGGAATTGCTCTTGCTGTTACACCACTCCTTCCAGCGATGGTATGTCCCTTGGTGTCCTCACATCCAATACACTGTATTGGACATGATGACTCACAGGACTGCTGGAGTAGAGGGGGAGCAAGGCTGAAGGGAGCAGTTCAAGAGCAGGCCAGAATTGCAGTTCGGGTGAGTATAACTTTGGTTTTTTAGCTCCTTAGATAAAACAAGCACTTAACCCTTACAATGCGTTGGTAGCCCCACTGCAAGGGTTAAGATTCTATTTCCCCGTTCTGCTTTAAGGACTCACAGCTGTTTCTATGCATTTTGTTCTCAGGAAGACAATTGTCCATCTATGGCCAGCCTGAGACAGCACTAGTAATCAGATATGCACAATAGAATTCTTACCTTTCCACTGTCCATGTAAAGACTCAGCCTGTTGTCGTTTTTGTCCCCCAGATGTAGTAATACATTGGATAGGTCTTGTGGCCGGATTTCAAAACTTATTTCAAAATCAAGTCCTGTGTCGAAGGTACTTTCTGTAAAATGAAAAATGATGAGTTTAATCTGGACACCTCAGCTAAACCAAATAGCTAATATTTTCTTACCAGCAACTTTACCTACCGGCAACTATGTATCCTGCCTCTTGAGCAAAATACATTCCCGGTTCAAAAGAGCCTTCGTAACATGGGGTGACACCAACTGTATGTGATGACTTTTCTAGAGGCACCTCATTTATCTTTACATTCTTCAGACAACCAGTAAAGCTTTTCTTTGGCATACCCTGAAATAAATTAACCTGATTAGTTAAACATTTAAATAGCTGTCCTCCCGCTCCAGTGCCAATGCTTCAAGCTGCGGTACCATGTTACTTGCAAGAGCTAATCACCAGTTCCTTTTATGAAGCACATACCTAATGCACTGGTATTTTTATAGCCTCTCTCCAGAAAAAAAGTACAGCTGCCCCAACACTGCAAGGAGTAACTGCTTGTATATGCCTTGGCAACCTGTGCAAAGGACTTTAACTTACCTGATCCCCACTCCAGCAGGCTCCAAGATTGCCACCGGCAGCCTCTTCCCCCCTGTGCAACCTCATCACATATAATTCAGGGCCCATAGCCCTGCATTACATGTGAGGACATACAGTAACAGTCCACAAGCTATAGAGGAGACGAGGTGAGTGCCAAGTGCCAGGGGAGCAGGGATCAGGTAAGTAAATGTCTTGATCCCTACACTGGCAGGCCCCAAGACCAGCACTCGCAGCGCTCACCCCCTCTGCAACCTCATCACATACAACACAGGGTCCATAGCCCTGCATTATATGTGAGGACATACAGTAACAGTAAACAAGCTGGAGAGGAGACGAGGCGAGTGACAACTACCAGGGGAGCGGGAATCAGGTAGGTAAATGTTCTGATCCCTACTCTGGCAGGCTCCAAGACCAGCACCTGCAGCCTCTTCCCCCCTCTGCAACCTCATCACATACAATTTAGGGTCCATAGCCCTGCATTATATGTGAGGACATACAGTAACAGTCCACATGCTGGAGAGGAGAGGAGACGAGGTGAGCACCAACTGCCAGTGGAGCAGGGATCAGGTAAGTAAATATTCTGATCCCCACTCTGGTAGGCTCCAAGACCGGCACCCACAGCCTCTTCCCCCCTCTGCAACCTCATCACATACAATTTAGGGCCATAGCCCTGCATTATATGTGAGGACATACAGTAACTGTCCACAACTTCAAGAGGAGAGGATACGAGCACCAACTGCTGGGGTAGTGGGGATCAGGTAAGAAAACATTCTATACACAGGCCCCCAAGAAATAAACAAGCAGTTAACCCTTTCAGTGTGGAGGTAGCCCCACTGCAAGGGGAGTTTTTTTAATTTCCCCGGAGAAAGGCTGTAAGCTCTTTAGGAGGTTAGCCCACCCTCAGGTAATTTCTGCCCATTTTTGAGTCTCACTGATCCTGCTCCAAAATGGTATTTATTATACAATTAAAATGTTACATTCCTGATAACTGCTGTAGCAGGATTTAAAGCTCAGAAATCTATGTCCCTGAATTATATCATAAGACAGAGTAAATTAAAATCTCCAGCATCTACGGGGAAATAAGATATCAGGATTTTGATGCACTAAAGGTATCATGCCATGAAAGTACAGAAATGTTATGTAGGGTCATGGTGAATTACTGTAGCTATGATTCATACTTTAAAATAATAGTATCTAGTATGAAGCACTAATTTATAGAAGTAATATTACCTGTACTTTAAGAGATGGAACGCCACCAAGGTACAGTAGAGTCATAGCTTCCAGGCTGAACTGTTTTTTCATACTTCCCTTTCGAGCCTTTAGCCCATCAATTACAAGCCGGCCGTTTAGCCCATCCCAGCTAAACACAACCTTTAAACAATCACGTGAAATTGAGTAGGATTTAATAATACAGTATATTGCAATATAAATAGCAGTGATTAGAAATACAAATATAAAACAATGATATGAAATTATATGAGATAAATGATTCTCTGAGGTTTATTGTTCTTAAAGTAAACCTTAGACTCTAATAATACATTGCAATATAGTAATCAATATGGAAGAATATTAATATTTGAAAGCATTAATGACCACAAAATATACAGTATCAGAACAGTGTTGGTATCTATAACTGGACCTTTGTTAAATCATGACTGTAATTGCTCATGCAAGATTGCACAAAAAGGAAGGTAGTACTCCCCAGATAAAAGCATTTCTTCCAAAGTGATATGCAAGTGACTGCAAGAGCGATATTGTGACTATTCCTTCATTGTCTTAAGTTACTGTACATCAAAATTCTCAATGAGAATTTTATTTTTAAAAGGTAAGGCTTCTGAGTCAGCAAAGCTGCAACGTGGCAGTTTACCCAATAAGCTCTCATTACAGCATCTAAATGAGTTATTCAGTTCCCTTGGGTATCCACTGTAGCTCAATGACTTGTAAGACAGAGGACAGTCCCCTTGTAAACAACCTTGTGACGTATTCCCCAGTCTATTCTACAGGGGTCACAGGACCCAAATCTGACCACTCAGATACCATGATTTCTATAGAAGGAATTTTGATTTACTAGCTGGTGATGCAAGAAGGGAGGTCTGTACAAGATCTTCTGCTGGTAAACCTCAGGAGCCGTGGAAGGGATAACTCCCATGTTACATCGTACTATTACAAGCAAACAGGACATTTCTATTGTAACTGGAACTTCCTTTCAAACATGTCTACCATCACAGTTACATGTCATGCTTTAGTCATAAAAACTATATCCTTAAATACTTACTGTATGCCACTTCCCATCATTGTATTTGTCTTGACTCCTTATTTTTATCTTGTTGTCTTTAGTACCCAAGGAAAACACAAAGTGCCCCTTGGAAATATGAAGAGCCAGGTGACTGGACGCCTGTTTGTCAGTCATTAATAGTATCAAGCCTGATGATTTGACGGTGCGAACGTCCAATGAGAAATGTGACCTGCAGGGCATGAACAAGTAGGATTATCTTACCATCTATCCCATGTCACAACAGGTATTCACAGATACGGGAATCAATTATTTTCTACAAATTACTCTTGACAGGGTAACAGATATGGTATGGTATCTGATGAAGGGGGCGTGACCCCGGAAACGTGTCATCTTCACAGCCTTTCTTGCTGGCACATAGACATGGCTGTGCAGCTATCACTGGCTTCTTCCTTGGTCCATGTATTCACTTACAATGCTGTAATCAAGTCGACCTTTGTGAGTATGTTTCTCATTCACTATTGCTTTTATTCTAAATAAATTTGTCTGCACCAGGAAAGGCGCCCCTTGTTTGTGTTTTTTCCCCAGGGTGACAGATATGTTTGGCCAGTGGTCACAAATCACGATACTAAATGTGTTAACTAACTACATTTGTTGGCAGGTTAATATAGTGTTTTATTATTGATATAGATATAATCTTTGATCCTATTCTCTACTGCATTGGAGAAGTGTTAATACTGCCTAATATTTAATCCTCCCTTTAGCATTTAAAAAGTACTATTCGAAAGAACATATCCAAGCCCTAATCTTATTCCCTAACCTCTGCTCCCAGCTGCTGATAGGTGCAGCCATAAGTGACACATGATGGCCACAGGAAAGACAGATGTGGTTTTGGTGTATGAGCTGGCTTCATCTTCTCTATGCTATGCCAAAGTAGGGGCACCCAATGGAGGCATAACTGGGTCACAGAGAACAGACTGGAGCATAGTGTATGTTCACTGATATTATACAAGTTGAGCTGTTTACAAGTTGAGTAGTTCATATTTAGCAGTGGTTCCTGTAAGCCAAAAAATTCTGCCATATCACCATTGTATTCTCAACAAGACTTTTCAGCTTTCCCTTCTAGTACAAGATAATGTTACTGGAAATGAGCCCATCATTAGGTGCTTCAGAAGAGGCCATCCATAAGATGTGTATTTGTGACTTCTGTTATCTGGCTTTCTATCACTTAAAGCAGAATTCCAGGTAGCAATTTTATTAACCCTTGCAGTGGCGTTACCCCCAACTGCAAGAGTTATGTATAGTTATGTGCCCAGGGTCAAAAATAAAAAAAGTTATACTCATCCGATCTTTCGAGCTGGCTTGGTTTTAGACCAGTCCCTGAAGCCCCTCTCCCCCTCTGATCCAGCAGTCTAAGGTCCCAGAGTCATTATGTTCTATACAGAGTGCATAGGATGTGAGAATGCCAAGGGACATACCATCACTGCAGCAGAGTAGGAGACAGTTAGGAGGGGGAGCACTGCCACAGCCGGCGAGCTCGGAAGATCGGGTGAGTATAACTGTTATTTTTGACCCTAGACAAAAATGAGCACTTAACTCTTGCAGTGCGGGGGTAGCCCTACTGCAAGGGTTAATAACATTTTTTACATGGAGTTGTTCTTTAACCCCTTCGTGACGGGAGACGTACACTGTACGTCCAGCCACAAAGGGACCAAATGACTTGTCACGTACACTGTACGTGACGAGTTATTTGCTGCTTTAGATAAAAAAAAAAAAATGTGTAAAAAATAAAATAAAATAAGGGAAAAATAAATGAATGTATTTATTGCATTTTTTTAGCTGTGCTGGGTTTTTTTTAACATTTGTTTCCTATTTTTTTTAATTTTATTTGTCCTAAGTGAGGCGTTAGACACACATATGTGATATAAATATGTAGCCCTATCTGTCCTCTAAAAAACAATATATAATATGTGTGGGTGCACTTTGTAAGAAAGTATATTACTGACGTGGAAGAATCACACAGCAAAAATGTAAAAAGTGTGTCAGTCATTTACGAACAGAAACTAAAAACAAGCTCAGTCATGAAGGGGTTAAGCAACAATATGGTAGATTCTCATAGGCCTCACTGAGTTTGTTTTGTGCTGTTTTTTTGAGCTGTTGGCCACAGCCTCTTCCTTCTTAAACACTTTTGAGTTCCTTGAAAAGTTTCTGACGATGACATTCTACGCAATATACAGTATTTTTAGGTAAACAGTCAGATCAGTCTCTGTATGTGTAACACTCTTACCGCTCCTTGAAAATCTGCTTGTTTAGATCATAGACCAAGTGACTTTCAGGAGAATCACCAAACGTGAGAGAGCCCAGAGATGATGCCAAGTTTGTGTGCGTAGGGCAGCTTTTCAGGCTCTTCTGAATGCTCTTTAAATTCAGGTCGTACTGTTTCAAGAGACAAAGTCAATTTAGTAACATGCTTACTTAGGGGCATATTTATAAAGCAGTTAATCTTACATTCAAACACTAACTGTAGGTGATTCTTTTCTGGTGCATGTGTATACATAACAGTGGTTGGTCCACCACCAGTAAATGTTTGGTGAAAGGCTTGATTTTAAGGACTACAGACTACAGTATTTTCACTTTGCAAATGTACAGTTTACTTTGTGTAGTGAATAAGGTGATCCAAATTGTGCAAACAAAGATGCTGTTTGTTGTTAGTTTCCCTTGCACATGACTGGCCATTCAAAGCAATCATAGCTTCACCATATTTACTAAGTTGAGGTAACATTTCTATTTAAAGAGGAACTCCAGGTATTTAAAAAATTAACTCTTGCAGTGGATCTACCCCCACACTGTAAGGGTTAACTGTCTTGGGGCCGGAATACAGAAGATATGTTCACCAGATCCTCAATTGACACTCAAATCTCTCCTCCTTTACTTTGGCTGTGGTATGTCCCTCAGTGTCCTCACATCTAAACCAGGCAAATGGACCTCTATTAGATGTGATGATGCTAGCGGGGCTTAGACTGCCGGAGATGAGGGGTGGAGAAGAATCTGCGGGGACCGGTCTAGCAGCCAGATAGGACTGTAGATCCAGGAAGTATATGTTTAATTCAGCTCCTAGACCAAAATGAGCAATTAACCCTCTCAGTATGGGTGTAGTGCCACTGAAAGGGTTACGTTGTTAGATTCCTGGAGTTTCTCTTTAAGTTTTAGTGCAATCTCAATGTGTTCTTTTTTATTTTGTAAGGTAACTAATTCGTAAAACAGCATCCTTTCTTTAAGTACAGAAACGGCATCGTTTTCACCCTGCTCAACCTTCTAAATGGGTCTTCATTTTAGGCTAAACTGGTTTCAACCATTCACTGGGAGATGCAACATTTTCTTTAAGAACTATATATGGCTATACATAAACCTCAATGAACAGTGTGTCACATATTTTGTAAGTAATGTGCAAAATGTTTACACTATATCTCTAAAATAATAAAAATTGGCTAATATATATATCTATATATATCTGTATATATAGATATAGATATATATATATCTATATCTATATATATATAGAATGGCATAGGATTTTGCATTACCATGCCAAAGTCATTAAGACTGAGACTTAAAGGCTGCTTCATTGCCTTCAGTATGAGAGGCATTGGGGCCTCGTCTGGAGTGCAAGCTCCAAGTGACACTTTATTCTTCTCTGTGTTCACAGCAAGGTCCTGAACAGTGGGATTTTGCGATGCCCTGGAAATATATAAAGAAACAATTAATGCAGAACTGGATTTTACTTTACTTTTTCCTGTGGCAATTATTAACATAAAATTAGTGGATCTCTGCGATGGAACTAAGACATCTATACCTGATAAAAGGTCTTCCATGCTCTTTCCAAAAGTAGAAAATACCTTTCTGGCTGAAATTCTACATTTATTTACCCCACAAACACTCCATTAGCGGCTTATGACAAAGTCTATTGGAGATTAAACGTGTTGGACTGAGCCTATGCACTGTGATATCTAGACGTAAGTAGTAAGTGGACACACGCAAGCACAGAAGTAAGGAGCCACCGGTGCATCGCTCTTAACAAGACTATGATTTTTGGTGAGAAAGTATAGGCCTTAGCAATGTTTACAGTAATATTTTAAAATATGCGTGCTATCTATTAAAAAGTGACCAGAATCACAGGCCCCACGTCCCAATCAACCCCAGGTCTGACATTAAGGTTATTGAGATGAAGTACCCTATCCAAAATGTTATTTGCATAATATGTACAGTATATTGTATATGCATTACCTTGATATAAAAACATTAGTGACACAGCCCTTAAATCCGTTTCCTCCAAGGTAAATGTCAGTGGGTGATAAATTTGAGGTTCCTGTGGAATCCATGTTATCTGTCACGTCCTTGTCATCAACTAAAAGTCTCAGCCTAAAACAGAAGAGAGTTGGTCATTTAATTGATCTGGTTTAAAACATATTTTAGCAATATGGCTGCTCATCAATAATACAGTTGTATTGTCTGGATTATTTGTGTTTCTTTGTTCAATTTACACGACAGACCCTTTTTGCTCAAAATCTTTCAGAAGCCACCACACAAGCATAGGGAAAAGCCCCACCACTAAAACTCCTGCCAGGATCTATGGCAAATTTTCAGTTTAGGCCCACTTCACATTGATCTTTAAACTTCTGGAATGATTGAAGTCTGTTATTTACATACAACAGCTCCCTTACAGGACCAATTGCTTAGTGTAGTTGCAGCACAGCACCAAATTTTAAAGTGGTGCCGAGTGTAGAATATAGAAATACTGTGTAACTCCATTTTCTTGTACTTGTGGAGGGGGACTATGTGTTATTGTAGGAACCTCTTATAAGAGCTTCAAATGTACAAAGAACATATCCTTTCCAAAGGTTTGAAATTCAATATTTCAACTGTAGATTTGAAGTTGTGGATTGTTTGTACAATTCTATGACAAACTTTTTTCAAAAGTCAAAAAGTCAGAGTTAGTAATTTCATGCAGATTCTATAAAAAAGGAACATCATCAAAAGCACTTTCCCTAAAGACAGGTTTAGGGAAATTCTCTTCTTTATATACTCTACTTGAATCTAGGGACTTGGCGCTATTCCAGGAAATAAACCCAAGATCAAATTCAATTAGTAGAAAAATAATAATCCTCGACTAATTGCAATTTGAAAAATCAGCTTTAAAAGGTAGAACCATGCGCAATGCTCTATAAATAGTATTTTCTGGCTGAGCTGCTCCATATATAACATAAAGCAGAGTAATTTTGTTTTTAACAGAGGTGTTAATTAGTCTCCAGGGACAGAGAAGAAATATTTAACAATGTGTATTTAATCTCCTGTTGTTTCTTCCAAAATCCAACTAATTTATCTTCTGAAAGTGCTAGTTGCCTGACCCAAAATAAATATGAAGTTCAGGAATGCTGGGTTCACTCAGACTTCATGCTTGTCCCAGGTCATTGTAGTTACTGGACAAGTGTGGCAGTGAATGCCAATCTCCATGTTTTTCCAGTACAGATTTCCTTCAACCGACTTTATAGTACAATGAGATTTCTTTATTATATTTAATTGGTTTCAACTGTTTTTTTTTCTGTGACAGTCCTATGTGATAATCCTGAATAATGTTTCAAATGTATATATACAATTTAAAAAAAAGTGTAGGTCACCTCAATATAGTGCACTGATAAAAGATGATCTTTATCCATATGTTTGAAATGACAATAAATACACCTTTAGAAATGTTTAGTTATGGCAATCTACAAAAACATACTTATAGATGATTGCCGGGTTTTTATTCTTTGCATACCATATTTTTATTTTCCTCCCCATTCTTCTCACAGTGGCCATTTTTACTGAGGCAGATTAATGTATGTCCCTTTACTTACTGGAACTCTGGCACATGTGACTAGGATATGTGACCATGCACATCATCTCAGGGGAGGAAAATGCATTTCCCTGAGATCTGATGAGATTTCCCAGCAATGCTCTGCTGATGTAACCTTCCCAGGGTGCAACGCGTGGGCACATTACATCACTAATGCCCAAGAGGACCAGGGAATGGAAACATAATAATTGTAAGTAAAAGAATAACATGTTTGTTTAACTAATGAATGTAAGAAGACTTCATATCAGCATGCAGAGCTGCATGATGAGGTCATCTTTAGTAAATTGGGGTAAAGGTTCACTTTTACAAAGTAACAAGCTAATTTGAAAACTGTAATTGTACTTACTCATCATTTTCCTTTATCACAGATACATAATGCATTGCTCCATCTGCATATTTGTTCTTTGATTGTAGCTTAGCATTTTTTGTATCTACAGTTACAGTTCCATCCTTTATAGAGACTTGTAGGTCATCGGACTGTGAAAAGAAAGGAATCACACACATTGATGGGATAAGAATGACAATATTAGAAAAAAATCCCTATAGTTAAATGGATATATTGGCAAATAATGAAACGTATTGTGGATATAAGCGGGATAAACAGGGATGGAGTGGATGAAAAGGGAGAGGGGAGGAGGTGAGGAGATGGGAGAAAAAAGGAAGAGGACAGGGGAAGATAAGGAAGGAGAGTGGAGGGGAGCTACAAGAAAAAGAGATGTTGTAGGGGAGGCAATGGAGAGTGGAAGGGTGGATAAGTGGAGGGGAGGGTAGAAGAGAGGAAGGGAGACAGGAAAAGATAGGGGAGTGGAAGTTAGAGGAGAGGGAAGGAGGCAGGGGACTGTGATGTATTTTATTTTTTTATATATATATATATATATATATGTATGCATATGTATATACACACACACATACATATATATCTATATATCATATTAGAAAGGTTCTAGATATTTTTCTAATTGTGCTTCTCTTTACCTAGACAGTTGATTGTCAGATTTGGTTGTTTTAAAGTTTCTACATAACTATGATAGAAATATTTCTCTATAGGAAAATATATTTGTATATAACCCTCAGATAAACCCTACTTATATAGATGTTATATATAACCCTACAGATTTGATCATAGGACTGGTATAAACTGGCAGGTATGCATTCTGCACTTCTGCTGCCTTAGGGTCATTACAATGACAAAGATATAATATGAATAATTATGTAAAAATCGTATATATCTAACACTATCGGAAATATGTGTTTTATTTATAATAATGTATCTGCCTGTAATATATTACTGTCCAGTTATTCTAAAATGTCTATAAAAAAAATCACCCTAAAACAAAAGCATTGCATAAACACAGAATTGTGCAGACAAAAAGACAGAAGAAGATGTCATTTAAGATATAGAAAAGTACATACCTGTGTCTGGTGAGTCAGCAGAATGGCATTGTTTTGGGGTGTCTGGAAACCAAATGATGCCTGGAAGTCTGCCGGGAAGGAGAAACCATCTGGTTTTAGTCCCAGAGTTCCACCATTAGAGAACTCCGCCGATCGGACAATCTACACAAAGATGACAGCAATGTTAATACAAGGCCAGGGAAGCAATGCAAATATATTATCGTATTGTGTAAACACACAAAACATAAGAAAGAAAAGTCTGTCTTGCTAACACACTAACACTTCTGAACCCAACTTGGAACTCCAATGAGTTAACATTTAAACATAAAATAATAATATTAAAAATAATAATAATAATACCATAAAACATATTTTTTCAAGGGAAATCCAGCTGAAACCATTGTTTAAAAAAAAAATACATCTGTACCAAAACTACCACTTTGAAATGTATAAGATCTAAAAGAAAAAGCAAGAGATGCCTTAAAGCTATAATAGTAACTCAAAACCAGCAAATGTTATCTCCTGATCATGTATTAGATATAACATTGTTTTCAGTAATAGGTTTATAATGACAAATGCTTAGGGAAGAATGCAGAAGCAATACTTCTGTGTGGGAAGTTCACCCACTAACATGCATAAAACCTTACTGGGCTAGAAGTTATTTACAATGTGTCCCTGCAAGAAAACCAAAGTCCCCCCTCTAACATGCATAGCACAATGTGCATGAGGTATTTACAGAATGTTAAATCATGAAATCATGCAGCATGCAGCAACTTCAACAACATTAACTTACATTCCAGTCATCATAGCATCTCCGATTGACTCCATATGTTTCTGAAAACGTGGTTCCACTCTGTGGGGACTTGACATTTTTAACACATCCACGGAAAGGAGGAGTTTTTATGTCAAACCTGTGTAGGGGAAAATGATGATTAAAAAAAAGCAATTTATATAGAATACTTATCATATATATATATATATATATATATGTGTGTGTACAGAGCAACATGACCATGCATGATTTACTCACTTTTCCCTAAACTCTGATGGGGCTCCACCCAAATAGTAAGTAGAAAATGTAAATACATCAACACCGGTATCGTTTATGCTTTGCAGGCCTTGTCGCACACGTAACAATTTAGTCTTTGGTATAATATACACCTCAGTCTGTGGAAGGTAAGAAACAAAGGGGGTGATTTACAAAAGATGCTTTCGGCTCACCTAGCCCAGTGGACTAGAGTTCATATCAAACATCTGATCATAAACCGTGAAATTTAAAGTGAATGTATACTTTGCTCATATTGGGCAAAATAACAGGTTCAATTTATAATAGGCAGTGTTAGCAACATCTGTTTACCTTCTGAACACTCCCCTACCACCCTGATCCTCCCTTCAAAGTCTTATGTAAGTTCTGACTTTCTAAAAAAAACGTGAACCCCATACATCCTCCCTTTTACCATGTGATTGCACCTGGACATTAAACACTGAATTGTGGGGGGAACAATATTGAATAGGCTTAATTTACAAACCTTTAAAAAATAGAATAAGGCTCTCTACTTATGCGACTGAACTGTTCAGATCTCAATGGACTGAAAATAACTGTCACTTTTGAAAAAAATATCTGTCACTTTTTAGAGGTGTTAGCTTTGCTTGTGTTAGCTTTGTGAACTGATCCTAATATTTCCCAACACCCAAAAGCATGTGGTATTTATACCAGCTGCAGTGGTTCATCAGGTCGGCAGGGAGTTATGGGGAACTAAAGAAAAAACTGCTGACCCTATCAGTAAAGCTGACCTGTTTTTTTACTGCACTCTAGTATACTAATTCTCAATATATTGATTTGTATGGTACTAGGCACATACTCAAACTACAGTACAAATGCAATGGCACTATATTACCATTATTAAGTACTATGTCATACAGATTAAAAAGCACCGTTTAGTACATACCAAATGTTCCTTTCCATCATTGACACGTCCGAAAGTACTCTTAACCTGTTTCACTGGGCTTGAATTTAGCTTATATTTAAGGACAAGAACACCATCTTCAATTTCAACACTGATGTAATTGTCCTGCAATAAAAAAATAAATCAGAAAGCGATGTTATAATAAGTGGAGAGCATTATGGTTATATATATTATAGAATGACAAAGGCATACCTGAATTTCTCTAGTAAACACAAAATACATGAAACATTAAAACTATAGCAGAGCCATAACTCATAATAACCAATTAGACAGCAGCATTTGGGCTGTAGAAACACTGGCAATTCTGAACAAGCAAAACTCCACTTTGCCCAATGTTCATTCTCTCTCACTGACCAAAACACTGCAGTTTGCACTGAAGATTTCTAGCAGTCAGTGACATCTTACTGGAATGGTCAGCAAGTGAGGAGAAGGTGAATGGACTTTTGGAAATGTTGTCACTGGGGATTTTTTTGCCAGCAAAAGGATCATTAGAGTTACATACAGGGTTATTCACAAAAGAGTGAAGAGTTTGGAGAAGGCAGGAGAAGTGAACCATCTAGGACAACATAGCCGATTCACTTCTCCTGCCTTCTCCGAACTCTTCACCCTTTTGTGAATAACCCTGATAGTCCTTACTGATCCTTCCTCAGCAAACTCAATGTGTATTAGCTGTTGTATCTTGCTCTCTTTTGCAGTGTTAAAAATAATAATACAACATGCTAAATAAATAAGCATTTATATGTAAGAAATACCTCTTGTTCTGCAAAGAATAACAAGCCATTATCTGCTGTGGTCTGGATAGTCTGCTCATAGCGTAACCGCAGGTTATCTCCAGATGGCAAGGTGTATGTTATGGTAGCATATCCAATACCTTCAAAGAAACTTTTTTCTGATTCTTCCTTGTATCTGAGGCAATAAAAGTCAATGAATTAATGGTTTACAATGTACAGTAACCAAAAGATACACTAGGCACCCTCTGACATCAATAATCAAGGACCACAATAACTGCCAAAAATGCTCCCCAAAGCATTTTATAAAAATTATTTCTGTACAATTAGCATGTGTCTCATCCAATGCAAGTATTTTAATGATTTTGTGGATTAAAACAAATTCTATCATGAGGATGTTTACTTATCGATTAACTACTTTTAATTAGATTTGAAGGCCACATTCAAAGAAACAAACAGGGAAGAGTATTATTTATAATATATTAGTGCATTCTGTTGATGGGAAAATTAGCTTGTTTTCATGTGCATTCCGCTTGCATGTAAGATCAATCTGAGAAGCTTCTGTGATCATGTAGAGTTCATTGACAAAGTTCACATTGGACATTTGACTGCAGTTGACTTCCTTCTGGTATGCCTTTGACTTCCTTCTAAGCTGCATCAACCTACTTCAGCTATTTTTGCATTCCATTTGACTTGTATAGGGAGTAAAACAGTTCTGACACAAACAAAGACCATGTTTTTTTCCTTTAAAGTGTGTTCATTCAGGGTTTTTTAATTATATGAAACTGTTTTTGCACAAAATGGAGAAGGTTCTCAGGTGCATCATACAAGCAGGTTGCTCATACAAGCAAATGCATGTTTATGAAGTGGGCTTGCTGGAAGTCTGAATCACTCACTGCTTTATTTTATCCCTTAGGATCTCTGGTGTTAAGCTCTCTGTGGCTCAGTCACTTACTCCTCCCACTTACTGTAACCTTCCCGTGGGGGTCACACTCTACCTCTAGGATTTTTCATTTATGTTGTGCTATGGAGATTACAGCTAAGAAGTCTTTCTCAGAGTTCTCCTCATCAGACTCCCAGAGATACAGTATATTAAGACTGCAAGGTAGTTTAAAACTCCAGATTCTATCAAAAGATGATTTCTGGGTGATATCACCTCCTATAGAGTGATTGTCACACAATCCATGTATCTACTATACATATACAGTGTTATACATTTTACATTATAGCACTACCTTTTACAAGGCTCCACTTTCTTAGTGTCAATGTTGAACGTCCTGCGGAAATTGTACAAGCTGATTCCTTTTTGGTTTAGGTCATCTAGTTCAATGCATCCTCTGTATCTTTGATAGTCCAATCCTCGTGGTGGCTTAAAAAAAATGCACACTTGTTATTTCATATATGAAAACATAAAAATATTATAATTTGTTATTAATTTGAGACACATTTGGCCTTAGATTATTCAAGTTAATGTTGGATTCAAGAGTCCGAACAATGGCTCATTAATAACCATAATCTTACAATTTTCTCAGTGATTGCCAGCAGACAAACAGATTGTATCTTTTTTATTATCACTTGAGCTCACAATTCGACTTCTCGCAGTCAAACAAGAATCACTTCAAAAACAACCATCATATAAGAATCATACAGATTGTCCAAGTCTTTCTCAAGTTTTTATAAATCAAAGAAAATAGGGGAAATCAAGGCAAGGACATGAACTTGATGATTTATTGAATCATTAATCAGATAAAATTCTCATCTGACTTCATCTGCTCAATGATGCAATAAATAAGTGCAAGGCCTTCAACTGTGCTCCTGTATGTCCTTTGTAGTTAAACAGGCTAATGTTGGAGACATTATTTATTTTTACAGCACAGAGATATCATGGAGGATACTTCTCGCAATGGAGACAGGCAAGATTGTATCAATCACTCGTACATTTTATTATAGTTCATGGATATTATAACAGAGGGGTTTTGGTGTACTAGGAACAGTGCATTATTTTTTTAAAGGGGGTGTGTCGCCCACCAGGATCACCAGATTTGCTTTTTCCTGAGAAAGGGGGGGGGGATTTCCAGGGGTATTCCGCTAGGCTCATTAAATTGGTTAGACCTGGTTCACACCTGAACGTTTTGTAGCGCGTTCAACGCTCGACGAACGCTCTACAAAACGCTCAAACATCTAAATCCCATTGTATTCAATGGGTCTGGTTCACACCTTGCCGTATTTCCGCCCGTCCAAACGCGATACAAAACGGCCTACGCCCAAAGAAGTACATGTACTTCTTTGGGGCGTTTTGGTCTCGCGTTTCCATTGGGATACAGCCAAGTAGCCCTCGGAAACGGGTGTTTGTCGCGCGTTTTTTTTACCGCGAATCGCGGTAAAAACACACGACAAACGCGCATATTCAATACGCCTAGGTGTCAACCCAGCCTTACAGAATTGGTCAGTGCAACCCCCTTATATCTCAAGTCAAGAACATATCTAGACACAAGCCAACTTTTATACTGACTTATGAAATAAAAGTTGTTGTGCATTAAGCTGCAGAGCCTTGCAACCTGAGCTTTTTACTGTAAAAAAAATGCATGCACATTAATCGTGCGTAGCACAACATTGTTCATTTTAGTGTAACAGCAGATAAGTAGCAGCGCATGGACATAGAAGAAAAGCAGAAAGATGCCCCACCACAAATACATATGGGACAATGATTGGAACATATTCTCTATGATCAGAAATTAAACACGCCAAGTGCCATATTGGTTCTAGTCTTATTTACCAGCTCTAAAACTATCTTCAGAGAGTAAATTGACCATACTGCCCATGCAGACTTACTGTGAAGTCATCCGGATATCCTCCAACATAAAAGACAACATCGTTTTCAGTAAGGCTGAGCAAAGTGCCTTGCTGCACCTTAGAATTGTATCTCGCAACAGGGTCTGGCTTATTTGATGTGAATGCTTTTGTATAGCTCAAGGTCACATACTGGTAGATCCTGAAAAAAAAAAAAAATCACAGCCTTTATTTTTCCGTAAAAGTGTTAGACAAAAATATTGTACAGTATACATTTGCAAAGAATAGGCAGAATTGTGGGCCCACAACTAATTCCAGTACTGAAATAATTTTGACGATAAGGGGTCTTTTTATGAGTACATTGTACACATATTAATTTTTGTATCTGATCAGTTCAAGTAGTCATCTACATTTCTCTGACACCATGCTAACACCATGCCCTTAGACCTAGGAACTCTAAAATGTGTACTTACAAAGGGTGAGAACACATGGGTACAAAGGTAGGAGGACTAACCGGAGGAGAAGGAGCTACTAACTGGATAGGTTTGAGCTGTTATGATGAAGTTGCTAGACCCTTTTATTAAAATGGCAAAAAGCATCCAAATAAAATAATTCAGTTTGTGGAGTCATACTAGTGATGGATTCATCCAGATTGGCTGCCACATATTACTGCTGTTTACCTTATTATTAAGCATGCAGTGCTTAATTAGTTAAGCACTGCCTGGAACACCAAGCGAAAGTTTGGTGTTCCAGACAGTATGCAGAAAGCCACCATATGTCAAGGTGCTGCACAGACCCTACTGCCACAACTATTTCTTTAGACAAATCTTTCAACATGGCAATGCCTCTGCATTTGTGCCAGTAGGCAACTCTGAACTTTGAGCATCAGTAGCTATATTGTATATTGAATTAGGCTACTCATATAAGGCCAATCTTTGCGAGTAGTGCTAGTTGTGACTGGCCAATACGGTGGCTGCACAGTGATGAGCATTGGGTAGGTTGCAGAAAATTACAGCACACTGGGACAGAAACATTTTTTTTCCATATTAAAGATAATGTTTCTTTAATTTTCCATATGTTAAAAAGAGCTATGGCTAAGAGGGGCCATCAGCAAACTACAGTAAATTATTTACATCTTAAAGTTGCCTTTATCAAGAGGCAACATGAAGAGTTAACTATAGGGGCCAGAGATTTTTTCGTTTTTAAACTGAACATATCATGTCCTTCCCAAAAACAAAAGAAGATTAAAACACAAAGATTTTAAACTCACACATAAACAAGAGAATTTCCTTACCTTTCCAAAACAACTCTGTCCATTATGGCTTCATCTGGTTTATTGACTGATACAAATGAATCCACGTTGACTTCTTTCACATCGTTTCCCAGTTTGAACATACACTTAAGTTTATCATCTTCCACAGCAAGTCCTATGTAATCCTTTGTAGTCTGGACAGAGAATGCACACACTAATTATCGCTACCGCAGACAACATTCAAAAAACAAAGTGTGCTTCGGGCATCTAAGGTAAACAGCGTGGTTGATATAATAAAGCAGTAGAGCATGTTTATTCTGAAATGTGAATTTTCACTTTGCAAAGTGAATTTTTACTTAGCTTTACCTCATTCACTAAGCTAAGTGAAAATTCACTTTGCCCATGATTTTTGCTTGCACATGATTGGATGATTGAAAGTCATCAAGGCTTTATCTCATTCACTAAACTAAGTGAAAATTCACTTTGCTTAGTGAACAGCACACATACACGGTTCGTCAATTAGAAGAACAAAAGTAATTTTTATTGTCTGCCTTGATTTTAAAATACTACTTACATCTTTGTTGCCCAGGTACATGACAAACATGTTTGGAGGCAGCTGACGTTTGCGACGGTCTCCTCGATTTTGCGGTCTTTGAAGAAAGAGTGACAGAGATGTGTAGGCTTTCAAATCTTCCAGGTTACTTGGAGGCCGCACCTCTACTCCAGAACTGCCATCAAACCTCATTGGTACTACCACCTATGAGAAAACATGTAAATATGTGGATATGAACATAAGAGTTAACGATATACAGTATTTAGCAGGATTGCCAGAAATCTGCAGTGTAGACTCAATATCAGTTGCGACATCTTATTATGAAATCAACACTATTTACATCATTTTAAAAAAAAAATTATTCACTAAGCCTGGCTTCACCCCATTGTGTTGTGGTAACACGCATGGAAGTGTTAATTTAATAAATTATACATTTTCATCATCTGCATATTTTTAGTGATGAAAAGGAAAACAAAGTAACAGAGAAGTTAATGGAACGAAAATGAAACAAAAATTCTGGGACGAACAAAAACAAAACTATAATTCTGGGAACTAAACAAAAATTCTGGGAGTGACTACTGCCTTTGGCTTTCAGTTCCCTGAGCTCTTCCTGTAGTAGGGAGACGTGAACAACTGAATAATAACCTACTGATCTACTTAGCGGGACACTAGCTAGCAAAGATCTGCTGCACAAACTGTACAGACATGTCAACGTTAGAGAGAAAGAGAAGAGCAGATGTATGGATTTTACATTTGATGCTATTGAGAACAAGACCCTTTGTAAATAATGTGGACCAATAATCGTAAGTCATAACAGGTTAATGGAGGTTTACTCCAGGAATATATAATGAGTTTGGAAATTCTAGAGACTTGCTTGAATAATGCACTACATTTTAAATAAACCCATTAGATTTATTTGACTAAAATCTACTGGAGATTTAGTCGACTAAAATTAGACTAAAACTCTTCAGATGGCTAAAATACGACTAAAACTAAAATGGCATTTTAGCCAAAAGACTAAAACTAAGACTAAATTGAAATTTGCCATCAAAATGAACACTGATGCATGGTATTGCAATGATTGTTATCTCAGTATGAAGGCATTACTCTGAATGGCACCTTAATGCACTAAGGTAACAGACCTGCATTGCAGCACACTGCAGTGTGTGGTTACTTACAATTGTGTGTTGTGGTTTGCTGCATCAGGAAAAAAAGGTCAGCTCCGGTGTTTGATGCACAATGTTAACACACAACATAACGTGTGCTAATGTGTACGTGGTAACGCACCCAAACACACCACACAGGGGTAGCTATTTTTTCTTTATTAATCATTGTAATACTTGCTAAATTGATACAATCACATTATGTAAGATATCAACAACAGCAATTGTAAACATTAGCTGTGATTATTACATGCAGAAAGGATCACATATTATACATTGATGCCTTTTCATGTGATTGAACAGTGTATGCAGTGTTGTATATTATAGAGTATGGAACCCACCTTATTTGCAGCATCTCGGGCTTGCTGAATCAGCTCCCTGATACGGCTGACGCTCTCAGAGATATTTCCTAAAGGCATCAGATCATTGATGCTATTCATGGCCTCAAAGACATCAGGCAGGCTGTCACTCAGTTTATTCACTGTCATTTGAAAGGACATTAAAATCACAACAAATGTTTAGCAATTTAGCAATAATTTTAAAAATACACAAAAGGAACTTTTCTTACATGTGATTTACTTTTTAAGAGGAAATCCTAATTCTCTTTGGAGCCCATCCATGCAGTTGCACTAAAGGAACACTGCACCATCAGTCCCCTTGGAATTACTAATGGAACATCTAGGTCACTCTTGTTAAACGGTTAGTACACCCAAAACTGATATTTTACAGTGATGAGCTCTCTGTAATTCTGCCATGATAAGTATTAGAGACCATCTTACCATCTCTGTAAGATTAGCCATAAATGATGCAACAGAAATGTATTCAATGCATTCCTAAATTTAAGCAGCTATTAGGTTTCTTAACCTACTATATTGCACTTATAACTGAAATATCATTCTTGTGTGGGCTGAGCCTTTAGCAGTGAATTGTGCTACTACCATGATATCAAATAGGTAATGTATAACTGAAGATTGCATTTCTAGGAAAATGTGGGAGCTGTTGTTACTAGGGATTACAAATAATAAATTCCCCCTTTAATAAGACACAAAACCTTTTTTCCCTTTCATTCATTGCCAGCTGGGTTAATAACGCTATACAACAGCCTTTGCCATCTTTGCTCTGACAGGTTGACCTGAGGGTTGTCTGAATTCCCCCATAAAGGAGGGATTTTGGTAAACCAGTCTTTTGCCAAACTTTAAAGAGAAGTTATGCTTAAAAGTAATATCACTCCATTATTTGAGTCCATTTTTCTTTACCTTATTATTACATTTCCCAACCAAGTGCATTGGCCCTTTGGCCCATTAAATGTTATATGTGGTCAATTATCAATATGTACTTAAATTCATCAAAATACATATAGTAGTTTATAGGCTACTAAACAATGTGGTTGAGGAAATGGCAATGAAATACTGAGCTCATTAAACAGAATAAAGTCATAAACTTTTCTTCCTCAATGTCTGCTCACCGGATTCACTTGCTTCTTTCAGTGCTTCATTGAGCATCTCATTTTGTCCGGTTACAATTGTGCCCTTAAGTTTATTTACATCTTCTTCGATGGGTTTTAATTCCTTTTTAACATTATTAGTAATTGTGTCGGCATCAGCAACTACGCTTTTGGCATTGTTGATCATCTTTTCGATATCATCTGAAAAGCAGTAACAGTTTAGTTAGAGATACCCTATGCCAATCACTCAATACTTTGCAATTGAAAGATATAATTTTAAGAAATTCACAAAATGTGGTTATTTTTTATTGAATTAACATTTCTATACAATTTCAGTTACAATATTTTGCTGGAAGACAAAATAAACCTTGCTATAAAGCTAACCCATTATAAATAATTTTGCTCTCTATAACCTGAACTGTGAAGAAAACTTGTATCATACTCACCTGATCAGCCACTGCAGCCTACCACCAGCTGTTGGTACCAAATACAGCCAACAAAGCTGGTCTTGAGGGCACTGGAAAAGGTAACATTAAGGTAGAGACAGACAATCAGCTGTGGCACTCACATACTGAAACATCATGAAGCCACACACTGCTGATTTCTTGTGTACAAAACCTTACTCTTTTGGTAGTGAAAGGACACTCCACCCACATCCTCCCACTGATGTGTTTCACCCTGCACTGGAGCTTAATTGTAGAGCCCCAGATTCTACTGTTTTCATAGAAATCACTACCAGTTATATTGAATCTGGCTGTGTGTGGGGTACAAATTCCTGTAAGGATACTTGAAAGATGCTTACCTCTTTTGATGGCATTGATACTATTTTGGACCGCTGTGAGGTCACCTGACAAACTCTTCTTCTTATCTGTAGCCTCCGTCAGTCTGTCCTTTAGGTCTTCAAGCTCTGGGTTTACATCTAGGTATTAAATACAGAAAGTGTGAAGGACACTTATATCAGCTCTCAGGAACATACTGTATGTTCTTTGGTTACAAGGACAGGGTCATGAGAAAAGAAAGTTCATTATATTGTTTCGCCATACATTTTTGTATCATATTTGTCCGGATTTTCTGCATATATTTTTAGGTAATTCTCTATTTTTTTATTAACAGGTTTTCTCATGCAAATTTTTGCCCTTGAGATTGTTCTATGTTCATTTCTCTTCTGACTTCTTGTGTATTTTCAAGTGAGTGAAAGGACATTTTCAAGTACAATAAGAATCTCAGTTTTCAACTAACTGACTGAGATCTAAAGCAGTAGTTCTCAAGTAGAATCTACATGACTCCCTGGAGCCCTATGATATTTCGGACATGCAAAGGGCGCAATGGCACACACCAAGTGTATTATATGGCAAATATTGTCTTGCTGATCCATTTGTGGTAAATGCTGTTGACAGCGATGTTACAGTTCAAGAACTGCTCATTGAAATACAAAGCAATATATAAGCCAAACCAATTTAATCAAGACAAAAATTATTTTTTTGTGTGCAGTTTCCAAACCTTTCCAAAAACGATTTATATGGTATTTCCAACATTATACTTGAGAAAATAATGTCTCATTTGGATAAGTTCTTTCTTAACTCAAAAGTGCAACACATAGAACATAGTGAGGAGAGGTGATCTTCACTTAGCAGATACTGCCATTAAATCGAACATTACATGCATCTGTTCACCAAGCCCCAGGGGTTACATTAATCGACAAATAAATAATAACATTTTCTATGTGATTATGTAGTGCAAACTGCATTGCTAAAATGATTGTTCAGTGCCCTGAATTTTAGCTTGTGGAAATGTTCACTGTTTCCAATGACTGCTCTCTCTGTAACCCACTGCAGTCCCAACCAGCACTGGGTCATGAAGGAGCAGATGCATAGCACAAAGTCATGTGATAAGTGGCTGCAATGCCACTCAGAAGCCCTAGGAAACATCTAGCACTTCGGGTGGTATTAAAAATTACAAATCTCAGATTAGTAAAATTAGGTAAAATAGTAAAAATGTTGTGATTTTAGACTAAAATTTGGTGATTTTAAGCTAACCATACACTGGTCAAAATTTGACCAGTATGTGGTTCTATGCCGCTGTCAGAATACAATAGATCGGCGGGGGAAGGATTACACAATCCATGCTATTTAGCATAGATGGGGGAATAAACAGTTTGGTGTGTTTAAGCCAGCTAGTAAATCACAAAAATTCCATAAAAATAAATAGCAATCTGAGGCCTGTAAATTGAAAACACATTTTGGAAGCTGACCAACTTGAACCATACCTCTGAGTGCTTTTTGCGTTTTCTTGGCCTGTTCCAATAGTGCTTCTGAGTCTGTAAGAGATTTCTTGGCTTTTCCAGGTAGATCTTCATTTTGTACTTTCTAGAATTAAAAAAAAAGAACAAAAATTTAAACGTGGAAAACTCTATGGCTCTATGGGGAAGACGTGGAAACTCTATGGCTGGAGCTAGATATGACGGACGCTAGCCGTAAACTTCTCGTTGAGGAGATTAAGGGGGGATATGATTTCCATGTACAAAATGTTTAATGGTGGTAGCAACATTAGCGATAAACTGTTTAAAATTAACTCCATTACAAAAACTAGAGGCCATCACCTAAAATTGATGGAAAAAAAATTCCAGCACAAGGGGCGAAGGGGGTTCTTCACAGTAAGATCAGTTAGGGTCTGGAACTCACTGCCACAGGCGGTGATTTCAGCAAATAATGTGGAATTGTTCAAGAAACTTTTGGACGATTTCTTAAGGGACCGTAATATACAGGGGTACGGGTACTCCTAGAATGAGATCCTAATAGGTTGGACTTGATGGACTAATGTCTTTATTCAACCTCAAATACTATGTAACTATGTAACTATGTAAACTGCAACTGTAAATTATATTGATTGTTATATATTGCATATTAGTGCCACATAAGTATTTAGTTAATATATGTAAAAAAATATGTTAAATAAATGTTTTGCTTTTTTGGTCAAGCAGTTTCAGTTGCCACCTTGTGGCCATATTCAGGAACTGATGCTCCAAATATTCTTTTTTATTCTCTTTGTGGCTGAAGAATAAATATAGAATAATTTATAGGCACCTAGCTAAGTATTTGTCTAATGCCCACCAAAGGGGAGTAGTGAGGGGAGGATGAAATTGCTGTCCATAACTGGTGACACTGCAGCACCTGTGGGCCTGCTTTAACTTTTTAGCCAAATGGTAAAACATTAGACTGCTGCTCTTACACAGGCAATAGTGGCTTTTAGCTGTAGCCTCCACATAGACAGGATCTTTTCAGCTGGGGTGGGGGAACTTTGAAATGCAAAAAAAAACCTGTAAGCTATTCAACACGTGCTATTTTAATGCATTTGTTTTTGCAAGCTACAAAATTGGGCTTTAACATGAACCCTCTACCGTAACTTAAAGTGGGACAAAACTCAGGAGTTAAATTTTAAAAATGCATTCAAGTACCTTAACTATAAACAAAAATTTATCTTATTTGTGTATCATTTACAACATGTGTTGTAAAGTAGCCACCACTCAAAACTTGTTCCCATGATGAAACACAGTCTCTGGTTTAGATTACTAATTTGTACTGAGATTGTAGCCCATCACGGGAGCGAGCCTGGAGTGGTGGATACTTTACAACACACACAGGGGGCCATGGGGAACAAAAGTATCGACCCTCCAGAAGGAAGGACTGTGTCAGTATGGATTCAGAGATGATTTGAGGATCTACAGCCGAGTGATACATAAATTATGTAGAGTACGGATATGTCCCCTGCACTCCTTACAGCGATTGGACCAGAACAACCCACCATGGTGCTCGCAGTGATAGTCACGGATGGCGCCGTGTGTATCAAACTTGTATGGTATAGCTGCCCTGATGAAGGGACGCTGGGTGGCCCCGAAATGTTGTCTGTATTATGTCTGTGATGTTTCACTCCAAAAACTGAGCACAATGATTAAATGCTACTACTTGAGTGCTGGTGATCTTCATCCTCTACAACTTTAATACACAAATAAGCTATTTTTTTCTTAATAGTTAGGGTACTTGAATGCATTAAGATTTAACCCCTGAGTTTAGTTGCACTTTAACCTTGAATAGGAACCTAGTTTTCGGATAGAGTGGAGAATGGTAGTTTCTATTACTTCAGTAGAGATTCTAGTAGAGATACAGAAAACTGGATTAGAAGGTTCTAACTCTGCTATTGAAAATGTACCTTTTATAGCCCGGCGTCAGATTTTTACTAACTTAATGTCTAGGTCGCAACATTGTTACCAGGACAGCAAGTAAGTGGTAAGCTCTCCAACGGGGCCATGGGCAGTAATCAGTATTGACAGAGGTTCTAATCCTTCTCCACTGTATATGAAACTTACAGGACCTACAATTTGGTCCAAGCCTTAAACCAATAATTATCATGGTAAAAATGATTTTAACAACAAAAACTGTACTATCACCACCAATAATTCCAATATTATAATAAAAAAACTAGTGCTAAAATACAAAGCAAAACATTTTCAGAACCAAATTGTTGTGCCAAAAACTAGTGGTGTAGCTGCTCCAAGACACAAATCAGAGGGACCAGCTGTAACTGTTACTTCACTCTATTAGCTAGATGTGTGCTCTTCTTGTACTTAAATAACAGCATTTCTATTTTCTCTACACTCCTTTTCCCTCTTATATACCCATTACTCAGAGACATATAGTTGGCTTATAAAAATTAATAGAATGGACTTGTTTGTCTAAAAACAAAAAATGATCCATAATTTATTATGCAAACCACTTACTGCCAAAGCAGAATCAGACGCTGTCTTTGCCTTCTTTGCAGCCTCTTCAGCAGCTTTCACAGCATTTATAATGTCATCATAAGCTTTGGAAGCATCAACAGCACAGCGAACCAGTTCCTCCTCGCTGGTATTCCGTCTGATTCTGTGTAATTATAAACAGAACCGGTTACAAAACTAGAAATATGCTGAGTTTGATGGGAAACATTTAGAATGTTATAAAGTACTACAATTTTCCAATTTCACTCCCTCTTGTTTGTATTAGGAAGTGGAACAATAAATGATAAAGTAAAGAGGGGACACATTTGTCTATTCCTAAACTAAAAAGCAGCTCCAAGCAAAAGCTAAAAACAATCAGGGAAACATTGCAACCATTCTACAGCCCGAAAACATGACCCCAATAGCCTTTAAACTGAACTTTTTATGATTGCATGCGGCCATATCTAGCAAGTGTCTCACATGTGCAGCACATGACAATTTACTATGCATCCTTCCCCTAATTTCCCAATGTGTAAAAACAAGGCTCCAATGCGAAGGATGTGCTTGAACTCATAAACAACCTGGCCTGTATTTTCTCAAGACTGGATTGGTTGTGGAGCCTTACAGCAGTAAGGCTCTGTTCCATAAATCTGAGTTTACAGTGTTCTGCTTAACTGATCTCCCATCAGTATAAATATTTATTTAAAGTGCCCAGTTGTAAATTTCTTTAGATCTCTAAATATAACCAATTATCGATTGTGTCTTAGTTAATTAAATTGGGAGGGCTTCTATTATGCAAACCAGCACATCTAATAAGATCCAGGCACCCAAATAATGTATTGGCTGTGCACTCCCACATTGCAAGTCAATGGGAAACATGATGTATCTGTGCTCACCTGAAGTAACAGCTGATTTGACATGCTGAGAGGAAGAAGTAGACATATACAGCTTTTCATTTTTTTTTTTAATTCTTCCCTGTTTGTGACGGTTAGAAGCATGGGAACCCAAATAGTCTTTTTTTCAAGAAAGGGTTTTGTTTTGTTCTTGAAATTGCAATGGGGTCAGTTCAGATGCAAACAGTAACTGGCAGGGGTCTTTAACATTGAGACTGTCTATAGTACACTAGCCAAACATATCAGACATAGATTATATATATTAGCCAATTAAGATTTTCCCATTTAACAAAATTCCCCCCAAAAATGAATGCATGTCATCCCAGGACACACCTTTGAATTATTTTCTCAGCTTTGGCATCTTATGATGTACATTTTCACACAGATGTGTGTACATATATATATTGTAATATTCAGGGCTGATATGACCCGTAGCCAGCTGTATCAGCAAATAAACTTTTATTCTTTTCCGCAAACAATCAAAGTAAATGGCTTATATTCAGCAAATACAACATTCGGCTCAGCGCCTGTATACTAAGTCCCACCTCAGGGTTAGAGTCCCAGCCTGCTCACAGAGGGTTCCAGTATGGACACAGGTGCCCCAGTAGTGTCTCGGTAGACTGTATTCCACAGCTTAACACACATAGCCATGTGTCCTGCTAAAAACACTCCTCACAGACAGACTGACTGGCTTCCTGTTCCTTTTTAACACACCCTCTGGCTGGTGGGTTAACCCTTTTATTACCAGAACTGGCTGTAGTCAGGGATGGAGGCTCTGTCCCACCCAATATATATATTTATATATATATATACACACACACGCACACAGAACATTATATACATACAAGACATGTTCTCTTATCACAGTTGGAAGATTGGTCCACTGGAAAGTTTTGGCTCATTCTTAGCTGTTGTGTAGTGTCACGTCTGAAAGTGACGTTCAAAGTCTTGTACATACTTTTCCAATAAACAATTATCTAATGCCTATGGGTACGCTACATGTTTAGATGAGTACTCACTCCAACAGCTGATTGGCCAAGTTCTGCAGAGACTTTGCATGTTCTTCTGCCATTATCACTAGAGGTTCCTTACTGGCTGCCTTCGAGAGGACGTTCACCTTTTCGTTCAGCTCCTGCTTAGCGCCATCCAGCTGTGCTGCCAGCTTCTCATACTCCTATTTAATTTAAAAAGAAGGACGCAAGAAGAGAAAAAGGGGAAGATAAAAGGAACAAAAAAGTAATGGCTGAAGCAACAGATGCATAAAAAAAAGGAAAGATCCTTATCTCTGTGTAAAGCTTTGTGAATTGAGCCTTATGTCTTTAATTGCACTCACAAAAGGCATTTAACTTACCTCTTTACTCTTCTGCAGCAAACCCAGCATACTGCTGGTCTGTCCCAGGCTGATCTCTGCGCCTTTAAGATGACCGGCTGCCTCTTTTTGTTGTTTAGTTAATTCAGCAACTCTTTTCTTAAATTAAGAAAGAAAAACATATTTAGATGACATTGTATCAACTACTGGCAGATCACGTTTCTATCGTTTTCATTGTCCTACATACAAAGTTTTTGGCACAGCTAGACTTTAAATGAACAAAGTAACATTTTTAAAAATTCCCTGATAATAACAGACTCGGGACATGCTTGAAGAGCACAAGCCACAATTTTCAGTCTCTTGTTTATTCTTTATTGCATTCATGTGATCTACATTTTAATGAAAACCCAGGTCATAAATTCAACACATGGTGCTATTGAAATCACTGAATAAACAATGTGTTTGTGTCTACTCCCTCCAATACATCATGCTGACTGACAAAAAAGAATACCTAAAGCTGCACGCAGCAAAAAACATCTGCCTCTTCAACAATAACCAAAATTGATACACCTGAATTTACATAAAAATCTAAATGAGTTTTGTGATACAACTGCAATAGCCACTAGTTACCTTAAGATCATCTAAGATAACTGTATTGTCTTTGTTGAGGTTATTTGCTTGTTTGGTTTGTGCTGAAGCTTCACCTAGGGCATCCCGGAGATCATTTATTTTGGCTTCATAATCTTTTATTGACTTGTTGATTTCCTTCATGAGCTCCTTATGCTGGTCAATATGCTTCTGGAACTGGTTTCTCACGCGGTTCAGTACTAATTAAAAAAGGAAGATGGTTAAACTTCTGACAATAGCCCCATAAGCATTGAAACCACTACCATCCACTCTGAACATGATACTTGTTGCAGGAATCACAAAGACTCCAGCCATACTTGCATTACTTACAAGATTTGGCGTCTTCTTTCTCCCGTTCTGCTTCCACTTTCTGTGTGTTAAAGTTGCGCTTTCGCATCTCATTTATCATTCGCTGGACCTCAGCCATTTTCGAGGACACTTCTCCAGCGCTTGATGGGTCAGCTGGTCCACTTGCAATCTCTTTAATGAGGACTGAAAAAAAATACAGGAATATAAATTACCACCTTTCTCAATATAGAATATAGTAATTATAAAATGTAGAGACGGGCACATACATAAGGAATTTTTCTGTTGCCATTCAATGCAACTGGCTACACATAAATGGCAAATGCCAATCTACTCCCAGTGCCAGTCTATCTGATCCCTATGTGCTGTGACACTGCCATGCTATTTCCAGCAGGACATGCCAACTGCTGCTTAAAGATGTGGCTGCTTTCATCCGGTCATTAATCTGAAGGAGTACAGCGGCCGCAGCTAAACAGGACATTTGGGATTCCTGTTACAAGAATCCGTAGGTTCCTGCTGCAGGAATCCCAAATTGCACATTGTGAATGAAGTCGAATAAACACAGTCTTGTCACTGCAATGAGATTGGGAAGACCCATGTCCCTCCCCTGAATCATTCCTATAGTTTGTGCATTCTGGTGTCTGATGTTATCAAGGCTGCAAATGGTATATATGCCAAGTCTTTCAAATAAAAAAAGATATACAACATGTTTAACATTTTTTACTTTTTAGCATCAAATATAAAACACTGATTAAATATAAAAACATTGCCAGTGTTATTCACAAAAGGGTGAAGAGTTTGGAGAAGGCAGGAGAAGTGAACAATCTAGGACAACATGGCTGAACTGGAAAGTGATCAGAATTGGAGAATTTTTCCAAATCAGCTATGTTATCCTAGATTGTTCACTTCTCCTGCCTTCTCCATACTCTTCACCCTTTTCTCAATAACCCTGTATATGTTTCATTGTGCAATGTACAGCACCTGGTTGGACTACAATACAGATAGTTCTTGTTACAAACACTGTAATAATAAAAAATCTCTTTGCTTTTAAAAATATCTAAACAAATCAACTGATTTCGGGTTGCCAAACTGACTGATTTAGAAATTGGTTTATAACATACTGTTAATGTTCTTCAGGAGTACATCAATGTTCAGAAGCATTTTGCTAGAGTCACGGAAAGTATTATCAGCATTTTTCATGATATTTTCATACTTCTCAAAATTAATTTTAGCCTGAAATGAGAAAAAATGACCAATTTGAATTCTCTAATTACAGCGTTGTACAACTTTGTACAACCAACTTTGTTCTAAGAGTTTCATGGCTCACCTTTTCGAGCAGAGCTGCTATCTGCTGTTTCAGGCTCCCAGTGTCTTTCTGCAGACTGTCCACTTTCTGACGCTGACTTGTGAGTTTACTGTTATAAATATCATACTGAAGCTGCAATGGAAGTCCAACAAAATATGTAAATGTTTTTTTCCTTATTCCTGGAGTTTGTATGTTCCACACCATCATACATTTTTTTAAAAGATATCACATAGTTTGTGTATATTTAGATTGTGATGCATAACAAATAAACAATTACTGTATAAAACATTGAGAATAACAGAAAAGTGTTTACTTCCTTCACTTCCTGTCCCACAGACAAACAGGAACTGAGAGGAAATTTCCTTATGGTGAGAGAAAATCCTCTCTTACACAGCTGTTACCGGAACAGATGCCCATTTATATTCTGTACTGATGACAACTGTAAAAGTTTGGATTTCCCATAATTTTCTGTCCTACTGACAATGCCAGGGCTAAGTGCTCATTTTGGTATAGGGTCTGAAATAAAAAAGATATACTCACCCAATACTTGATCCTGCCTGAATTCTAGACCAATCCCCGCATCCCACTCCATCGGTGGAATGTGCCTCTACGTTCTCACATCTAATACACTGTATTAGATGTGATGACTCACGGGTCATTAGACCGCCGGATCGGAGCGGGAGAAAGGCTACAGGGATCAGTCTAGCAGCCAGGCAGGATCTGAGTAGGTCTATGTTTATTTTAGGTCCTAGACAAAATGAGCACTTAACCCTTGCAGTGCTGCGGTAGCCCCACTGTAAGGGTTAATTTGTAATTTGCCCAGAGTTGTTCTTTTCTGATAAAATTAAGCAACGGCCATTAATACATAAGCAGCTGCAGTAGTAGCTTATTTATTTCTCCATTTTTAGCTACCAATTGATCCCCATAATTCATCTGGACCACAAATCATTTTAGAGTCCATCTACCATGGTACCCAGAATTATAACCGGAACTGCTCCACTGCACTGACCTTTACTTCTTGGATGTGAGCTTCCAGGTCTCTGATCTGCTTCAGTGATCGGCTGGAGGCATTAAAGCTTTGCAGCCTGGCCTTTATCAGGTTGAATTCATCTTGTATAGTCATCAGATCCATCAATAGGGTATCAATGCAGCTGTCACAAGCTGTAAGAATCCAAATGTCAAAACGCAAACAGAATTAATAAGGCTTCTAAACATTATTAAACACCTAGAGCCAGGTGCTTTCACATACATGCCACAGTTATCATTCCCCTCTGATATGGATGAATACCAGGCCTTTCTGAATGCACACAGCTCTGCCACTTCCTGGTAGTGATGGGAGTATGCCCTCCCTCTTGAGCAAGGCAGTCCATCTTAATGATGGGACTTCAGAAATGTGGAGGGAGAGGGAATGGGAAAACTCTATCACCATCCTGTATTTGGTCATAGTAAAGAGAAATGGGAACTTACATTCATCATCTCCAGTGTCCTTTGGATCTTCATCAAGGCATTCTGGGAAAAAAAAAAACTCTGTTTCTATGATCTGATAAAATCATTGCAATACAAAAAAATAAGCACAGTCCAAACACTTGATATACAATTCCATTTACCAATTGATTTCATCTCACCAGATTAAGGGTCAGTATTGATATGCTTTTGTTTTCTTAGAACTGCTTCTCTCCCCATACAAATCTATGGGAATGCAATAGCAGCTTGAAGCAGCTTAACTGCACCTGAAATGAATTCTGAATGGTCTGAGCCCCTGGATATCAATGCCAAAGAAGAGACACACTTCAAACCTATTCAGTTGTGTGTGGAAATGTCAACTTCAGCTATTCAGTTCTGTAAACAACATGATTTTTTAATCAAAGCAGCAGAATTAGCTTAGGAAAGGAACACAGGCCACTGGCTGGAATGAATATAACATATTCCTCCTTTTGTTGTTTATATTAGGGATTTACGCTGGTTTGGGTTACTTTATGGGTAAGGTTGTTAGTATTTTATTATAGATAATATAGATTACATAAGGTATTAAACGTTATTCATTTTTTAGAGATTATGTTTTATATATAGTTGAATGTAATTAATTATTATGAGTGTATGTATGATCCATTTATGTATAGAATGTTACAAATCAGGTATGGATACCAATTGCTCATTGATAAGATTGCTATGTTATTTGTCCTCTATTGCAAAATTAATGACATCTAGTGGTGAGATAGAGGTAGGTAGGGTATGGGTTGATACATGGGTGGGACTGTGTATAATACAGTATATAGGACGTATGCCATCCCTGATGAAGTCTATGATGAAACGTGTACGGTGGGCAAATGACGTGCTGACAGCATTATGTACACCCAGGAGAAACAGGAATAGGAGAACGAGAGGATTTCTTACACTGAGCGGATGTTAGTGTGTTTTTATTGTTCTAATTTTAATAAAGCATTTTAATGATTTTACAGTACGGGAACTTCTGGTATTTTCTACTTTTGAGCTAACAGCGTATAAGGGAATACTATCTGCTGGTATATGGAGATCGTGTTTTAATTAGGAACTCCAGGGAAAAATGTTCTTAGCCCTTGCAGTGGAACTACCCCCGAACTGCATGGGTTAAATGCTCGTTTTTGTCTAGGTTGAAAAATAACAAATTTATATTCACCCAATCCCCGTTGCTGGCTTGCTTTTAGACCGGTCCCTTCCACCTTGCTCCCCCTCCACTGCAGCGGTCTAAGGTCCCATGAGTTATCACATTCTATACACTGTGCATTAGGGATGCAATGATACCGATACTAGTATCAGTATCCCTGCCGATGCCGAGTATTTGGAAGCTAGGCAGCGAATCATTAGACGCTGCCGGGCAGCGTGTCATTACATGCCCCCCGGCTTACTGATTGGCCCCCTGGTGACAAGGGAACATGGAGCCGGCTTCCTGGCCAATCAGGAAGCCAGGCGCCGTGTAATGAGACATTGCCTGACTTCCTGATTGGCCAGCTTCTCGACCAATCAGGAAGCCGGGAAACACATCATTACACAGCCCCCGGCTTCCTGATTGGGCAGGAAGCCGGCTCTATGCTTCCTAGTCATCTGGTGACGAGGGAGCATGGAGACGGCTTCTCTACTGATCGGGAAGCTGGGGTGGCGAGTCATTACATGCTGCCTGGCTTCCTTAATGGGACTTCCGGTATCGGTATTTGGTATCGGCGTGTACAAAAAAAAACCCAGTATCGGTACTTGCACTCGATACAGAAAAAACGCTATTGGTGCATCCCTACTGTGTATAGGAGCAGGGGGAGTGAGGTGGAAGGGACCAGTCTAAGAGCAAGCGGCCTCTGAGGATCGGGTGAGCATAACTTTTGTATTTTTGAACCTAGACAAAAAGAGCACTTAACCCTTGCAGTCCGGGGGTAGCTCTACTGCAAGGGTGGTGTCTGAAAAAGGTTAACCCTTTCAGTAATGGATCTCTAGATAGTTAGACATCCATTACTGAAAGGTAACCGCTGATTCTCAGTGGTTAGCAGCCTTCTAGTGCAGCAAATAACTCGTCACGTACAGTGTACGTGACGAGTCATTTGGTCCCTTTGTGGCTGGACGTACAGTGTACGTCTCCCGTCACGAAGGGGTTAAGAAACGTTTCCCCTGGAGTTCTGCTTTAAGTGCCATTTAACCATATGTCAATATTGATCCATCCTGCCTGGTGAGTTTATTGAATCTGAAAAGAGCACCGAGAAGGGGATCAAAGGAGCACCTTTGAAGCACATTTTCAACACATTTGGCATTTGGAGTGTTTCATACTAACATTTGTATATATATTGTGAATACTGTTGGACATTTGGATCTGTTTGGTAGTGGCACTTGTATATGCATTATTGTAATTATTAATTAGGGATATCATTTTTATTTTTTTCGAAAAGTTAAAGCTGCATGCACTATAAAATAACTGTTTGCATCTTGTCACTTTATATAATTACATTTTATATATTTACTAATTTATATTGCACAGTACAATATTTGTACACAAATATAACATATTGATATGCAATTTTTCACATTAATTTAACTAAAAAAATATAGAAAGAAAGAAAGAAACAAATAAAGAAGCATAACCTTCAAAGCATATGCATAACCTTCAACTGGGTAATTTTAGCGGGAGTACAGGTCTCATTCAAAGTCTTCCATCTAATTTTCTGTACATTACAGTGCTCCATAAGATTATTTACATATCTATAATACACATACTGTTGGTAACATAAAGAAATACTACTTTATTGCAGATCCATTCTAAAGAGTACATATTAATAATCATTCTTACCTCCAGTTAAAGGATCACAACTGCCCAGCTGCCCATTATTACCACAGTTACATGGCTGACATTTGCTGCCTAACCGTAATGGATTGCCATAGTAGCCCTGGGCACATCTGCACAAAAAATGAAAACAGCTCTTAGTATAAAATCTAAGCAGTATACAATGTACAGTATATGGTGTATAAACATAGCAAAGCTGCAATGAACTATTTCACATATAACACCAACATGGCATTGCAAATGTCACACCTTTGTGTAACAGAACTGTATCACGAAGCAGATTAGGATGAATACTTACTCTTCACATTTTAATCCAGTGTATCCTGGCTTGCAGAAACACTTTAGGTTTCTCCCACTACCTGCACATCCCGTGGCAAAGCTGAAAATAACAAAATGAAAGGAATAATTCTTTTTCTACAACAAACTACCCAGCGGCATACATCTGTAACTCTCATACAAAACTATTCATTCTGCCACTTTCACCTCCATATTGCAGCTGGGTGCCAGCATTTGTATGTATTCTATTCTTTGGATAAATACAGTTGTGCAGCAATATGGGTGTTGGTTGCACCAGAATTAAATATTTTGAAGCTTATCTATAAAAACCGAGGCCAATAAATAAATTAGTCAGTTTTGATTAAATGCATTTCGCTTTCATTTCTGACCATCAAAAGCACAATAATTTCTGCAACCTGATGGATGCTATTAGGAAAATGTGCTACAAATTGGTAATTCTCGCATTTACCAAATGGGCTGGAGTGTTTGTGGGCTGATGTGATAAGAGGGCCTTTTTAATAAAGTAGCAAAATTCACTGAAACAAACAGCTGCAGAACAGGACCTGGGCTATGATTGATGACAACAATATTGCAATTCCAGGCTTAGCAAGGGACGATCATGCATACACAGATATGGACCAACATGTTTTATATTCAAGAGTCTCCTACTCGAGGTCTGGCCCTAAGCAACATGAACAATTTCCTCTGAACAAGTTTAAAAAAAAAAAAATCTGTCCTTTTACATGTAGATTGTGAATGTGTGTAATTGTTGATAGCAAACAGTATATACATGTGGTCAGCTTTGTTAAACCTCTATCTTACCTGTTTGAAAGCACAGGGAGAGGACAAGCACACAAACTACATGACCCATCTGCAGCATTCCCTGTGTAACTTTCTTTGCACACTTCACAGTGGTCACCTGCGGTATTATGCTGGCAGTTCTAGAAGTAGAAACACAGAAGGCTATCAATGAGTTAAGAAAATGTTAGTCCTGGATATACTATTAGATACAGTAGGCAAATAACTGGCTTTTCCCTGCATAGCATTCAGACTTGCATTTTTCTCCTTATGAGTTGGTCATCTCATAGAAGGATATTTGAAAATTGTCAATATGTTCTAAACAAGATTAGGACCAGTAAAACAAGAAAATGTTATCTATAAGAGAAATAATTCTAGCAGCTGGGTATTCCTTTGAGAGCCAACATCGTGTGCTTATGTTATGCCTTTTAAAATTATCTATTGCCAGTCACCCTCAAAATCTAAAGCAAATGGTCACAAAAATTTAGATGGTCCTTCATCCATGGAAACAAATCTGCACACAAATGTTTTCTATACTGAAAACAAAAAATGTAAATCACTTGTTCCAAACTTCATGGCACCATTGTGAATAGTTTATGTTAATTAAAGTAGCCACAGCTCCACGCTCGCTCCTGTGATGGACTACAATGTCATATATAGTTTACCAATATGTGTTGAAGTTATAGTCAGTCATGGGAAATGGCTTGGAGCCATGACTACTGTACAACACACACGGGGATCATAAGGAACAACAGTAGCGTCCCTCCAGAAAGAAGGATAGTGTCAGAATTAATTCAGAGATGATTTGAGGATCTACAGCCGAGTGATACACAAATAAGATACATTTTTGTTAATAGTTAGAGCTAGTTCACACCAGCCCGATTGGTGCTGGAACGCACTGGATTGCATTCCGGCCTGCTCACTTTGTTTTGGGATAGGAGGGGGCGTGGCGTTGCATTGCAGTCAATGGCCCCGCAGCCATGCCCTCCGGCCGAAATGCAATCCAGTGCGTTCCGGCACCAATCGGGCCGAACCGCACTGGGCTGGTGTGAACTAGCACTAAGGATACTTGAATGCATTTTTAAGATTTAACTCCTTGGATTAAAGTCCCTTTAAGAAGTAAGGATTTTTCATGCACAAGAATGTGTGGCCCAAAATAAAGACTGATGATGGACTCAGCATGAAGATAGAACGGGTACATTTACGACAGGGTAGAGAACTATGATGTCAACACAATAGCCCTGCGATGATGTCAAGCTGGCAGGTATGTACAGTATATGTGGTTCCTGTAGGTTATTTTGGTAGTGTACATTAGGAATCTCTGTCTATTTTAAGCCATTTAATAAAATAAAAGTTAGCATGCTTTGGCAGTTTAGTAGTTGTGATAATTTAATGGAGACTGTAGCTGTTATTATAGCCTCACTTAATGGGTATATATTAATGTGATGGTTGTGTTCCAAACCACATTTAATAATATGACCTATACTTTTCCTTTTATAGACATGATGAAATCCTCAGTCACAGACTGTTCTAGTCTGATATTAAATGTCCGCATACTCCTGTAGCACACAAGTCCTGTAATGGCTTGTCCTACCTGAGAAATGAACTGTAATCTGGGCACTCCCTAAACTGCTGAACTGCTTACATGACAAAACTGCTCCTACACTAAATGCATAGCAAATTCCGTTCAAGTAACCCAAATGAACACATTTCAAACTCATGAATTAGTATCACAGCATGGTTGAAAACCTAACATTTTTAATTTTTTCAGTCTGATGATTACATTGTTGTCCCAACATGCAGATATTTCTTACTGTTTATTAATTAGTTTAATAAGTACTTATGTATTGGTGGGGCTTTTCTTGGCGCAACGTGCAATCCTATGATGGCCTTTGGCCTCATAGCTTAACAAATGGTAACATTTTCTAGCAAAAAACATTTTGGAAATAGATTCTTTAATTTTGTTTTTCACATTTATCACCATTTTTACAATGCACCTTGCCACATCAAATATATAATATCAGGTGAAGAGACAAATCAAAATTTAGCAGTATAGTTGCACAAAGTATGGTGAAATGAAAATCAATTCTGCTTTCCTATTTGAATAAGCCCCACAGATTTACCAACATGTTAGACAATCTCTGTGATGGCTTAGTGGACCCTTTCTTTGCTCTACAGAAATGGGAATGAGCCTTTCACACCCATCAGACTCAACATTATAGCTATCAATACATATTTTATAGACATATATGATATTCTAAACTGCTGTTAGTCCCCATTCACACGTAGGCATTTTGTAGCTCAAAGCTCGGGGCTACACAGCGCTGAACGCAAGGAATCCCATTGTTTTCTATGGCCCCTGTTCACACTTGAGCGTTCTGCCGCCTGTAGCAAAACGCCTTTCTCTGAAAAAAGTACATGAGCCTCTTTTCTGCAGATATCAGTGCTTTTGGCCCATAGACTTCAATCAAAACGCCTGGAAACATGCGACACAAGTGTTTTTGCAAATTTTTTGTTTTTTGATGTGCATTTGTCGCGCAAGAGCCAGCCGTCCTCTGCAAAAAACAATGAGGACAGCACAAGCTGAAAAAGGCGCACAATATTTGTAAAAACACTTAAAATACGCTTGACAAACATGTGTTGATGCATGTAAAAATGCCTCAAAAAGAATTGTGATCCAACTTTCTGGAGCACAAAGTATCTGGAATAACATATGTATTGGCAAATATTCAATCGTTTCTGGGAAAAAATTGTGTAGCTAAAGCTTCTATACATTAAAAGCTGTATAACCACATTCCAAGGCGGCAGCTAGATCTCTGCTGTCTCACACCTGCACTAAGTCCACTTCTGTATTGCAGCCCTTCTTACTGCACATTTATACAGTATACTGATCTATTTATTGTATTTTTACTTACTAGTTATTATTTAGCTCTCTCTAATTTGTGGCTACATACAGTGGCTTGTAGGTTGGTTCTCTTTTATATCTATATAGTTTCTGCATGATACAGTCTCTCTTAAAACATACAGATACAGGACAAAATTGAGACAGTAAAAAATATTAGGAAGAAGTTGAACACTTTGGTAAGAATAAATATAAAACAAAATTCTTTCTTCAAAGCTATTTCAAGCTGACCATACACAGGATTGATCTGTACTAAAAATAAATGGAGCACATAAAGCGTTTCCCTAGGCAAAACATTACAAGATAACACTTCTCAGAAATTAAATGGTTGATAATAGGGAGCAATGCATGTGCCCTGATAACTAGCAAAATGAATTGCTAAAAAAATGTAAAGAGTTTGAGAACATAGAAAAGGAACCTTGGGGTCGATCTACTAAAGTCAAATAGGCCGCTTATTTTGCAAGGGAATTTTCCCCTTAGTTTAGTGAAAATTCACTTTCCAAAAAATACCCCATCATTGCTGATGAACGGATGATGGAAGTTAACAGAGCAAATCCCCTTGCACAGCCTATTTGCATTTAGTAAATCAGCCCCTCTGAACGGGAGATACTGCCATCAGAGCCAGCAAGAGATTAAAAAAAATCCATAACACTTATTTACAACTGAAATATCACTTTAGGATTCACTTATGAAACCAGTACTTACGATGCATATGCCTGACCCATCGTGACATCGTGTTGAATGTCCATTACACCTACATGGAACGCACCTTCCTAGGTACAATCCCTGATTCTCACGGTAGTGTCCAGGTGCACACCCCTGGAAAAACAATATTTTTTATATTTTTTAGATATTCTTGAATGCTGTTTTAATAGACTTTAATAGACTTTAAGTTAAATATATATTCAGCTACATTTTACACATTGGTAATATATAAAAGTGGAACTGCAAAACAAATTGTAAAAATATACATGACAGAGGCATTGCCCTTAAAAGTTTACATATATCAGTGTTGTTCGTTATTGTGCACGCTTTTCCTTGCAATGAACAGAAGATGACCCTGTCTAAAAAGCGGGTGATTCCACATCTGGTTACCCTGGCACATTATTCAATCATATACAATTGTGCCAAATCCAACCATTCAAATTATGTCTTTAGTGCTAATAAATACACAGGCGGTGATTTCAGCAAATAATGTGGAATTGTTCAAGAAACTTTTGGACGATTTCTTAAGGGACTGCAATATACAGGGGTACAGGTACTCCTAGAATGAGATCCTAATAGGTTGGACTTGATGGACTAATGTCTTTATTCAACCTCAAAATCTATGTAACTATGTAACATAAAAAAACAATATATATTCAACCACTTCATTTCAAGTGTTCATTAATAAAAAGCAATATATAAATAATAATTAATATTGTGATATGTAGATGTGATCCACACACTTATGATAAAGTGCTTAATTGTGCAAAAACACAGAGTCTGTCTGTGTGTAGTCCACACAGTGGTCAATAGTGCAAAGAAATCTCTCCAGGAGGTGTCTTCCTTAACCTCCACTCAGCACCACTGTGTGCCCTTATGAAAAGCTGCTCACCTCCAGATTTGACCTCAGCGTGGGTCAATAATCGCTCAAAGTTTCACCAGGTCAGTCAATATCTGCCTTAATGTCTCCCTCCCTTCCACAGTGTTATGAAACCGAGATCAGCAGCCCCATCACGGATGTTCACACATGGGAGTAAATGAAGCTCATAGCGTGAAAGTGTGAAACCATATAAAACCTTAAAAGCTTTATTAAAAAACGACTTTGTCTGGCAGCATGTAGGGTGGAGTCAGTAGGCGCAGAGTGAAGCAAACAATACAGCAGAACAGTCTGTACTTCTTCCCAGCCATAGTATTGGTTTTGGCAGTGGAATTAAAAATTGGGTATTGATCGTTCTGATGACTATGCGGTTTAACATTGGTTTTATGTGAGTAGTTTTCTAATGAAGCTAGTTTTAAGATAGATTTATTAACATGCCAAAGCTCCAAAACTCGGTTCAAATGAGTTTGTTTTACTTTTGTGAAACAAACCTCCATCCAAAAAAAAGAAATGTTTAGTTTTGTATAGAGTGAGCAAGAATTTGTTATTTCTGTCTGTGATCCCATTGGGGAGATCTTCCCTCACTTCCTGTCCATGTGACCCTTTACAAGTAATATAGGGGTGTGGTTGTCACCAGGCAATAAAACAATTGTCAGAAGTTTACTAAAAAAAAATTTTTGTCCACCTTAGGGAGATGTTTTCTCTCTCCTGGAAGTGAAGACAAATCTCCACGACAGGGACACAGCAATGAAAAATTGACAGAGGCCCTAACACTTTCTTACACTATCCACCACATAATAAAACCTTCTGGCTGGAGAATGGCTTTAATGTCTTAAGTATCTCTAAGCCAAAAAACAAAAACCTTATATACTACCAGTCCTTAGATCTAGTGGATGCATTAGTCTCCTCTTTTCTGGCTTCTCCTCCCTTTATTTTCTCCTGGTGATCCAGCCAGTAACACAACTCTCACTCACTGTACTATATTTATGAAGGAGCAGTGTTGTCACCCCAGGACAAGACTATGGAATACTTCTCCCTCATAACAAATGAGGAGGTGTTATTTAGTTCACAGAAGCTAGCTGGAAAAGCTAATAACTTCCTTTGTGATTTCAGTTCAGTGCACAAAAAGTTAGAACAACACTGAACCTCTTGCAGGATCAACAGGATTTTTTTGTACTTGTAGAAGAAATACTAAAAAAATAAAAAGGAATGCAGCCACCACATCTAAGGACAGGTAAGCTGTAATATATCACATTTTTGTTCTTAGGTTTAGATACACTTAAACAGTTTTGAGGAGTTCAACCGGTATTATTATTAATAATATTATTATTATACAGGATTTATATAGCACCAATAGTTTGTGCAGCACTTTACAATATAAAGAAGACATTAAAGTTACAATACAATACAAGACAAGATGATGAGGGCCCTGCCCGTGAGAGCTTACAATTTCAAAGGGAGGGGCAAGTGATACAATAGGTGGTAGCTTTGTGGGGATGAATTGTTTGAGAAAGTGATAGTTCAGTGGTTAGGTTGAGAAGGGACAGGCTTCCCTGAAGAGATGTGTCTTCCTGGTTTGCTTAAAGGCAGACAGAGTAGGAGATAGCCGAAAAGGTTGGAGTAAGAAGTTTCAAATGATGGTAGAGACTCTAGAAGAGTCCTGGAGGTATAAGTATTTTCGGAGTCCTGCAGCCACAGTATCCTACACAATGTTAAAGATGGTGCAGCCTTTTCTCATGTGTCAAACGTATTGACAGTAAATGTATTACAATTGTATTCACAGTTTTCACTTTAATAATGTAAATGGATTTTATTAACCACCTTTTTCCCCATTCCTATAAAAAAAATGTTCTTCTGTTACAAAACATAAAAAAACCCTACACTTCTCTCCTGACACTTTTGACATTTTGTAGTACATTAGAAAAGTCACATGCAGTGGCGTAACAATCGCCATAGCGACCCAGGCGGCCGCTATGGGGCCCGGGCACAGGGGGGCCCGGCCAGGGCTGCCTGGGTCGCTATGGCATGTGGGGGTGCTGGCTGTCACAGACACAGCTCAGCAGCGGCCACGGCGCATTTCCCCTCATAGCCGCTGCGGAGCTGTGTCAGTGACAGCCAGCCGCTGCGGCAGATGAGGGCTGTGTACGGAATGGAGGAGGTGGTGCCCGCCTCCTCTTACATCACTGGCCAGCGACCTGAGAGCAGGTGGGGCCAGTGATGTACGAGAAGGCGGGGCCCGTTGATAGCAGAGGAGGCGGGGGACGGAACAGGAGGAGTCGGGGCCCGGCGACCACAGAGGCGATGACAGGTAAGAGATCTCAGACCCTGCAGAGCCCACTATAGAGAGTCTATGGTGGGCTCTGCAGGGTCACTCTCCGCTGGGGCTCTGCAAGTGGCATAACTAGCAATCACGGGGCCCCATACAAAATTTTGCCTGGTCAGATGATTTTTTATTCTCAATAATTTTCTATGTCCATTAGAACTGGCAAGCAGTGAGTCCTGAGAAGTCTGTTTACTTAATGCCCCTCTGACCTGCATCTCTCTTGCTAGATATAAATGAATGAGCTTCTTGCCATTTCTTGTTGTAGTCTTATAAAATGTTAGTACCTGTCACATACACCATCAAACCATCAATAGTAACGTTACTATCCATCCAATCAGAAGTATATGGTGAAGTGTAACAACAACTTTGTAAATAATAATAATAGCTTAGGGTATTATAATATCATTGATCCCTAAAGCAAATAAATCACTAGACCACATTGTTCTAGGCTGGCAACTTTACAATTTGATTATTATTTTTATTTGAAGTCAGCAAACCGTATATAGCCTTGAATATGATCTCATCTGCAGCAGGTTAAGGCATTGAGGCTTTGTACAGTAAGACCCCAGGTGCATTGTTTGAATGAAAGAACACAGAAGAAAGAACTGAAGCCATCCAGAGAACAAGCACTCACATGCAGAGCACATACAGATCCTTGGCCGCCAGTGAGATCTACAGGCCCTGACAAACTTGTTGTTGCATTATTACTAATAAATTAAAGTATTAATAAGTGGCTGATTTATTAAGCAATTACAAGTTCCTGTGGGAACATAACCTTACAAAAGTTATATTCATCAGGAAATCTTGGTAAGCCACTGAAAAACTCACAAAGAAAGACGTGCGGTTTTGTTTACTGAGGACAAATATTAACGATATGCCAACACAGTATCCTACATCCACCAATCAGATTTCACCTTTCAGCAGTTTACACCAGTCAGAATAACTGCTGAATACAACAAAATAAAGATAACTGCTGAATAGTCATTCATGGTATTACATTTTAGACAATGCTCTGCCCTATTGAATCAATCTGATATTTCATAATGAGGTACAGCCACTATACATAAAGCAGAAACCACAGAAGTCAAACTTCACTTGCCCCTCTAAACAAATGAAAGCTGAAATTTGATTGGTTGTCATGCCATATAATATTAAATAGCTGCTGCTTTGCAAAGTGCTTATCAAGTATTTTTATCAAATATAGCACAAGTAAAAAATTGAATCAACATAACATGAATGATTGTGTTTGCTTTCCAAGTCAAACTTATTAACAATGAATGTTAGTAGAAGAGTCACAATTCATTGTTATCTTAGCTGTAAAGGAAATTGGCACTGAAAATTACACTGCTGTAAAACACTTACAAGTAAAACCAAACAAGTTATGATTAGGTAGGCTTAAAGGAACCAAAAATATATGGTCTAATTACTAAAGCAATACTGATAACATAGATGTTTAATGGCAATGCTGCAAACCAGTTGTATGCTCCCAGCAGACCAATACCCATTTATGATGTATAAAAACTGATGTGTAAGTGATACTATTGAATTCATAATGTGTAATAATATGTCACGTGCTTCTGTTCTTGTAGTTTTGATACAAAATTATTAAAAAAAGCACAGTAGAGCCTTCTTCAAACACATAAGTCATCATTTCTATCACAAATTCTTATAATACTTTGTAATGGCTCATTCTCTACAGAAGCCATGGTTTTCATCCCCTAATGGTCAACTAGCCTTAATCAACTATATGCAATTTGGAATCAATAGCTAAAATAAGACTCTATCAATGCTCTAAACCAATGGGGGAAAAAAAGGTGCCAAGAGATATGAAGGAATGATTGTATTGCTCTGACCTGATTTTCCATTAGTCAAAAAAAACAACTTTTCGATGTGCTGACATTTAAGACGCCTGTGCTGTTTTTCAGGGTAACATTTTTGTAAAATATAATACAATGAAATGGTGATAGAACGATACAGCTCCAGCAAATGCACCTTGTACACGTTGTCACCTACAGGGGCTGCGGTAATAAAATCAAGCAGCATAAGACTCTGAGTACTGGACATGTATTACATGCTGCTCTGTCATATTCTACTATTCCTAAACAATACCCGTTGATACACAAAATAATATAATCCCAAAGGGAAAATATTAAGCGATCGTAAATTCCAAAGAAAACAAAGTGGATTCAAACATCATAAAACAAACATCAAAAGGCTAATTTGTCAATATAGAAATGATATGACCACATGCCAAGTATACATACATGGGGCTCACTCACCTTGTTCGCATGTCCATCCAAGATATTCTGCTGTGGATTAAAACTTTGGGGGAATTGCAGCAACTCTGATCTTTGCTGTATACCAGTTACTCCACAAAGCACCAGGCTGATCAAAAAGCATCCCGGGCAAAACATCTTCCTTTTAGGAAAAATTAAAAGCTCCTTCTACTTGACTCTCAGTCTACAAACTATTCCTTGTAGGATATATATAGTAATATATATTAATATATAAATATATAAAGAGATCTTCTGGACTGCAGCCTGTCAGTGGGCACCCATGCTCCAAAGTGCAGTCTGCGCTTACAAAACTGTCATCCAGCTAGTGACATCCCTCTTATACTGCAGAATTCTGACTCAGGTATCCAGGTTAACATCAAGGCATGCATGGTTCTTTGTAATGCTCAACCTCTCGGATCACAGCATGAGTCATATTGTGTAATAAATATGTGTGGCCCCAGGGCCTGACAGGCTGTTTAGTATACAGCAGTGTATCTAAGGTGTGTCTGATAACACATAGCCTCCACCCTGGGAGAGTCAGACATTTCTAGACCACTGGTACGGTAAATCACTGCCTGAGTAATACTGCAGACAAGTAGGATGTATGTGTGATGGATCAGTCAGAGGTGCCACAGCTTCCTTTGGGCTACATATTTTCAGCATAGCACAGTTATACCAGAGGCTGCTCCGAGCCTATTTAAAGCAAGCCTTTACATGCTGCACACTCTGCTATTCCTCACTGATTGCATTAAGCTTTTCAATTGCATCATTATCTTATTGAATTCTACAAGTGATTGTATATCCATGTCAGCTATTACGTCTGTGAAAGGCGTAAAGAACAAATTAACAACGTCCTAGGGCATTCCTGTGTTTTTTGGATGTCTATTTGGTAAAAGAGGTAGTGCAAGCACGTCACAGAGCTTATTAATGATATACATACTGAACATAAAATGATAGGAGTGACATAAAAAGCCAAGTAGAAAAGGTAAAAAAACAACACTATCTTAAAATGTGGACTTACTTGGATTTATGGCCCTTTCGCCTTATGCATATGCAGTAATGTCCATTTCTAATGAGTGTTACTGCATATCCTTATGAGTGTTTTAAATATGCATTTAAAACTATTTTTTTTGGCTGCATCATTTAAATATGCAATTTGTTTAACCAGCTTTGGCCCTTAAACATAAAAGGCAAGCACTAAAAAACGTAATCAAATTACCTTGTACACTCTGGACTTCCTTTCCCACTGTAGCCACTGTACCTGACAATATACCCAAGACCAGATATCAGATGGACAGCTAGGTCCTGTGTAAATGAAGCCAGCAAGCATTAATGGCCAGCTTCATAAATGTACTCTAAAAGTAATTATACAAAATATATAGACTAGTTCTTCTGTAATATCAGTTAAATCAACCTTACAAGTAAAACGTTCTTGTTAGGTTTTTTTTTTTTTAAGTGTTCCTTTTTATCCATTTGTTAACTATTACTTCACCCCACTCAGTCTTAATTGACTTCTTCCTCCTCTTCCCCTTTAAACTATTATTTTTTGTGGTTCATGTTTTAATTTGTAAAGACAAAAATATATTACATTGATATTGATAAGTAATGACTAAATTCTTTTCTGAATCTGTAAGATCTGGTCCACAAGGGGTATAAAGATTAGGGAGATGAAGTGGTTAATATATGAAGTAAAATTAAGTTTTTGCTCCCCCTTATTTCATGCTGAAATGCAGATTTCAGGTTCATAATAATAATGGATATGAATTAGATTAGTTGGTTAGATAAAATAATGTGTAAGTAACTCAAGGTAAAAATTTTAATTTAAAATGGCAGTTATTAAAGAATAACTTTACCACCTTGGACTTATCCAGATGGTGTCTGGGATCCATCTAATGTGGCTGGTGTTTGTGTCATTAAGATGGAAATCTGAGATTGGGATGACGCTTCTTTCTCACTCAATCAACATAGCTGGCTCTGTGATGAAAACAGTGGGCATTGTGATGTGCTCTGAATAGCACTGCCTGTCTCGGTGGCGCTAATACCACGCATGAGATTCTATGTGCCATCTTAGTTACATCCCACAAGTCTATTAAAAATGGCTTTAAATCCACGCATCCAGTCTTCTCCAAAAAGACTGACATTTTATGTATGCGTGGTAGCTTGCAGCAGATACTTCCAAACATGGTATTGCTACACCGCACATGTGTAATTCACTGCCATTCTGGGCATTGTGCTCAGGAAATTTGTGGCGCTACAATTCGTGTCTAACCTTCTCTGCAATTGTAATTTAGCTGCTGTTGTTAGGGGGTGCCATATCTTGCTCTCTTCACCCACCAAACCCCCCC